AAATTCTTTACATAAATACCTATGCATAGTCCTCAAAAACAGAGAAATATGTTCTCTTTCTTACATGTTAACAGAACTTAAGGTTGTCATTTTACTAGGATTCCTTGTTTGGGGATTTTTACTGTTGTGGGCTGGTACCTGACCAATGTGCCGGGAGCTCTTTGTGGGGGGTTTTCTCTGCTTTGTGTTTTGCTGCCTTGTTGCCAGAGGTCCTGCGCCCCTGAAGGGACTGGGTCCTAAGTTTGACCTGCACAATGGGAGCTAACGGTGTGGCTGCTCTTGGGTTGATAGCTTGTCTGTCTGCCTGAGGATGCTGTTACCTTTAGAGCCAGATTCACATGTCCTTTGTGGCCTTTTGGTGCAGAGTCTTGCAGGCTTTCCACCGTTCTCAGTATTGTGCACCTTTTACACATACATTCATCCATCCACGCATACACACCCATGCACCAACTCACAAATAATCCAAGAGGTTGAAGGTCATTTGCATGTTTCTATTATATTAGTCTGGCCTGCTGGATCCATACTTGATATCATAGTCAGCCATGCAATTTGAATTATGTCTTGAAATATCCTGGTGCATCTAAACTAGCTTTTTAAAATGGGATACCTGAAATTCAAAATACAGGAAATGCAAAAATAAACAGAAAAATGTTAAACAGACAATGTAAGAGTAAATAAAAACCTTAATCATGTTGCAGTGAAAAATGACAAATTGATAACAAATTTTCATGAAGTAATCAAATCAGAAATAATATTTGAATCCAAGGAACAGAGATTTTGACTGCCAATTTCTTGCAGGGAATAAAAATACGTATGACCAGGAAATTCAGTAAAAACAACAAAAAAATATTGCCAGAGGAAGAAATAAAACGAGAATAAGCTGACTCAAGAACACAAATAGCCAGGATAAAATTCAATAAATTGATATAATAAGAACAAGACTAATGTAATAGCTTGTTGTAAAGCTGGTCATTTTTATGTAACCAAGAGAATCAAACATACCCTAAACTTGGCTGAAAAATCATAAAAAAAAACAAAGACCATTCCCAAATCTGAAAGATCAGAAGTAGTTGAGATATTGAAGTGAGAATTTTATGGTGTATTTTGGATTTAACACGACATTTCAGACATATTTATGAGCAGTATTTCTTTTAATTTATTTTTTACTAAATTAAATATTTTGTTTATTTTTCCTGATAACCAAGTTGTGGATGAAAATTGAAATATCACCACATCACTTTAGTCTTTTCTATGCTTTTCTGCATGTGCATATGTGCCCACACATTCCCTTTCACCAAAAATGGACACACAAAACCGGCTCTTACTTACATATTCACACATTCTCCAAGGTTCAGAGTCGTGGGTATTTCTGTTCTCTGAGTGGGATGCATAGTGTTTCCATGGAGATCTATTTTTAGCCCCTGACAAAAAAAGGGCAACTGTTAAAATATGCCATCATATTCCCTCTGAATTAAAAAGATCCCATTTTGCCTCATGCAAGTATGAAGGCATAAAGTTTTTTTTCTGAAAATGGGATACTAGGAAGGCTGCCTTTGTCAAAGCGGTTATAGATAATACTCTGCTGGGCTTCCAAGTACAGTTTTCTAGCTAGTCAGAAATCTTACAAAAATGGGGGGGAATTAAGACCAATAAGTTTTTTCGAAGAAAATTATTTAAAGGTTTTAAGTGTGCTCTTCTCCGTTACATGATGTTAGGCCATATTTTAATAATTCTTTAAGCTAAGCATTATTGTACAATATTTCTGAGTTAAACATTACACAGTAGTAATTAAAGGAAAAGTAGAAAACTGAATTCAAAATCCAATTGCTTGTGGAATTAGATTTTCTTAAAATGAGATTAAATCCACAAGCGAGTGTACTCAAATATGTAGAAATGCATTGCTGATTGAAGAAAGTTACACAAGTACTTCACTTGTATCTTATGTATTGCTATTGTTTTACGGCAGAAATGTTTTTTTCTTTGTTCTCTTGTATATGGTTTGAATATTGGTAAGGAACTCCAAACTGCAACACTATTAATATATGATGATAATAATAGTTACAACATAGATTGCTTTATGAAGCGAGAGCATCAACTATGTATTTCAGTATTTATGTATTTTAATTCAAAGTTACCCTTCACTTGATACTGTTCTGGATTACTAAAGGTTTATTTAAATACTGGTATTTCTATTGGTGGTTTTTACCTCTAAAGAGTGAATGTTTGTGAATGTGGCAGAAAGGGAAAGAAATCTAACTAGAAGTTGTATTTGATGTCTTCTAGGCAGAACTAAAAAAATGGCAGGGACTTTGAAAAAATTGCACCCTAATATCTTCAATCATTATATGTGCCTGTGCATGGATATTCACAAACATTACTTGTCTGTCATCTATGCATTTCTGTGCATGCACTGTGTATGCTTGCACTATGTGTGTGTATCTGACCATTGGTAATTGGCAAATATAAGAGCTCAGATGTTATCATGTGATAGTGCAAGCAACCACAGGCATGCTGGCGCAGCTCTCTTACACACAAAACAGCTCAAGTAGCTAGTCACGACTCACAGACCCGGCCATACACGCACATGCATTCACACAGAGATGTTTACATGTTATGTAAAGGAGGCTCCTGTGAAGATCAATGGAAGAGCATGTCAGGTCGTCTCATAGAAATAATTAAAAGTGAATAACTAATGATCCTATTTATAGACTGATCTATTTGTAACCAGCACAACATAGGAGGAAATATCCTTCCTTCTGTCTACTGTGAGCCATGTTAACATTTCTTTCTTTAATGTTCCTGTTCTTTTTCAACATCCTTCTCCTCGTTTGATTTGCTGAAGCACCGGTTATTTTCTGCAACAGCACCTCGTCCTCTCACCTGTCGTATGCATTTAGATGTGAGCGTTGTCAAGCAGCAGCGATGTTATCAAGTGCAATCCCGGGCCAATCCTGGGAGACCCTGTGACGCACTATGAATGACATAAGGCAGCCGTAACATGCATTGTTGTGTGGGAAAAAGAGAGAGAGAGCTCCCGTGAATACTTGCCGTCCTTTTGTGTGCAGTCAGCAGCAAGACAATGATTTAGCACTGAAAAGCAACATTAACTAAGAGATTTCTTAAAATGTGATGTAAATGTAGTTTGCAGTGATAGACTGTAGAATATGTTTTAACCTTCTGTCCTTCAATCTTTTTTACTTGTACTCTATAAGGCCAGAATGTCCAATTGTTAAATGAAATAGCTCTTATATCTGATTATTTATTATGTGTTTTAATAACTAACTGAACAGTCGTGGATCTGTCTGTCATCATTTGGTAATTTTGTCTCAACCAATATATCCTTTATGCCAGGACAAACTGGATTTAGCCATAATTATCTTAATGTTAACACAGCACTGCTCAGTCATCTGCTCAAACCCCATTTGTCTTATTTGCTTACTGAACAATTTGAAACCTTCATTGTTTTTATGAGGTGTTTGTAGGAGTGAGACAAGGTACACCGTGTAATAATTGCATTGGTTTTAGAGTTTTAGAACCAATGCAATTGTTTTGATGTGGGATCTCGTGCAGTTATTGTGCTCATACAGAGAAATGGACCAGACCAAGTGGGACAATGGGCCAGAATTTATTTTAAACAGACCAAACAACCCAAGTGCGAAAACCATTTTCAATCCTGCCATCAAACTAAAGGCATGGAGTGCTGTGAATTGTTTTTTTTATAATTCACATATATTGAAGAAATTATTTGAATAGAAAGAATTCAAAAGCAATACGCTATTCCCTCATCTGCACAACTCTAGTTAACCATCAATTAGAGCCTTTATCCACAAATAGAGATTTGTGGATATCTCCATTTGGAGTGTGAGTTCTACACTCCATTTGCCTCAGTTAAGGCCAGAGTTCATTATTCAACAATATGACAAATTATATCTTTGGAAAAGTTCCCAGGCAAAAACTACTGATCAAACAGGACACAGTGGCCACGCTGTAGCAGTTGACATTCGTTAGTCTGTTATTACCGGTTAAAGTTTGTTGGTAAAAATGTGCATCCTCTGGGTCATTTTTCCAGTGTTAAATTTGCGTCACAAATCTTCTCCATTTGTTCAAACTGCTTAGTACAGTCATACAGCCAACACATGGAACCTTTTTCAGAACTATCACCAAATTCTTGCTTACTTTATCAACTATAGTTTATTCATTCAGCCACAGTTGACTTTACAGATGAAAGAAATGGATAACATTACTGTATTGTACATAAAGACTGCACTTCAAGGTTTTATGATTAATGGCAACTAATTAAAGACATGCTCAACTAGTAAGAAAGGACATTCAGAATGAGAATGTCAATTATGTGCACCAATAGATTACTATTATAAAATCACGCAAAATAACTGATAACTGTCCAGATTATATTAATGATAGATATAATTTCTCATTAAAACAGTGTTTGATTACATTAACTCGTCCATGAATTCTCAATTGTAAAAACCAGTCACTGGTCCTGCCGAATTATACTTTTAATTCAATGCTGAGCTCGTATGAAAAGAAAATCCCTGAACTGCTTTCTAAAAGTAAATTGTGCCTTAAGCCAGCATGAAGCACTTCACATTAATGTACTAAAGATATTTACGCACAATAGATCACAGTTTCTGAGGAGGTGGATAAGGTCAAAGCATAAAGGCCCTTATCGCTTGAGCTGAATTATATAAGGAATGCAGAAATCCGTGGCCCACCATGACTCAATCTGGTAATTAGAGTTGGTGTGTTTGTGGCAGGGGAGGCGTTGGAAAGGGGTAAAAGAGTGCAAAAGAATAATGCCTGGAAATTAAAATCAAGAGAAATGATTGAGAGTAGATTTGTCTGGGATCAACATGTTTACCAGCAACAGTGTCAGGAAATTCATTTACAGCTGAGTATTTTGATATTTATTTCTTTATTTAATTTTTTCCATTAAATGAATGTCCCCACCGATGCTCACAGCCATTGTGTTCCCTTTTCAGGTCTTGCAGGTGTTCAAACGGATCTGGACAAAAGAAGAGAACTATTTGGTAAAAACCTGATACCTCCAAAAAAGCCAAAAACATTTCTACAGCTGGTATGGGAAGCACTGCAGGATGTCACCCTCATCATCCTGGAGGTCGCTGCTCTAATATCCCTGGGCCTCTCCTTTTACCACCCTCCTGGGCAGACCGGTGGAGATGGTGAGTTACCCAGCTGCTGTGGCGTCTCCTCCTGTGAGGCTTGCTCCCAGTTGGTTTAAAATTAGAAAAACGCACCTCATTAGTTCTGATGCTCTCAGTGTTGCAGGGAATTTAACCGATGACTCACTACCAGTAATCATGACTGATACACTCTCAACCACATTTGTGTAAACTCTCTTTCTAACAGGCGAGGCAGGTCCGAGTTTGTTTGTCACCTGCTTTAAGAGGTCAAGTGACTCATCAAACACGTATCTAATTTTTCTGCCCACAAGTAAGCATTTGTGCGCATTATGACTGTATTAAATGCATGTTAGAAAGGTACTGGAAAGGTTAATGAAGTTTTGAGTGGAGAAATAACCTTGAGCTCCCAGGACTCATACATCAGCTCTGTGAGCCATGAAACAGGAAATGAAGACAGAGACAGTAAAGAGTTGCTGAGTCAGCTGCATCAGTCATCGCCTCTTTCGTTATCACAGTAATGGACTTCATTTTCCCTGCCCAGGGGTTCAGTCATCATTTTAAGGGATTTACATGCTTAGATGAAGCTGAAAATGCCAAAGAGAAGATATGTTATTACCTCAGCCTTTGTGCTAGGTCTTAAGTTTATGACAAATATTCCTGTATATTGATTAAGAACTTGTATGAAGACAGGACTGGATAAGCCATTTCTTCTTCCTGCTCCCTGTGGAAACACCTTGATTTACAGAATATTTTATCTACAAAGAAAACTGAAGTAAATATCTTGGTTTAGTATATTGGATTATGTATTGCTTCATTGCTCCACAGAGAATTGCTGCAGACATCACATTTCTAATATTTCTACCTTTCTAAGTATTGCATATAGTTATATTAGTAGAATAGAACACAAACATTGTGACTTAACTAGGTACTTTCAATCACTTAAAAGAAAACTCGATCTGTACTGACTAGTTTTTTATTTACATTAATTATATTAACATTTTGTTTTTCAAAACTATAAAAGACGCTGAACAAACTAATTAAAAACATCACAATAAATAAATCAACAAATTACATAAATTGACACACAAAAAGACACAGGACAATCATATCCTTAGTCTCCATCTAAAGGGTTTCTTGTTTCTCTGTGTTTCTTTTGATCTATTAAAAAAAAAGCTGTTCAAAATATTTACAAAAACTTCTATTGAGTGTTTAATTTTATTTGAAGGTATATCAAACAGCATTAACCAGAAATGATAATGTCCATAATGATCTACATTATGCTAACTTTTGATAGCTGTTTTCAGGTCTGTGCATTTAGATCACACACTGTTCTGCTGACTGTAATGCAGTGATCAAGCTAGACAGAATGAACTGATCTAGTTTAAAGAAAAGCAAAATAATCAAAAAAATAAACTCCAGCAGAGTCTTAAGGGATTTATTGGTTGTTTTTTTGTCTTTCTTTTGGTCCAGAGTACAATGGCTCCAGGAGTATTACATGAACAAGCACAAAGAGTACTGGGAATAGGCCTTGTTTCATTCCCCAATATACCCTGGTCTACCAGTGTGCAGCCAGTAGAATGCAGATCCGCATTTGAAGTAGGGCATATGAGGAAATGAGATGATGATTCTCATGGGGCTATTTAAGCCACAGTTTGTTTTAATTTTATACTTGCCTATTTTGTTGCACAGTTCATAAATGAATGATTTGCACATGCAGACAGGTAACAGAAATGATTAATATCAACCCTTTCAGCTATAGTAACAACCTGAACAAATTGGTCAAAACTGATTGAAGATGAAGATGCAACTTAAGATGTCTTGTTTCTTGTTTGTTTTTTTCAGCATGCGGTGCAGCAGCCGGTGGAGTGGAGGATGAGGGTGAGGCAGATGCAGGCTGGATCGAAGGCGCTGCCATCCTCTTGTCTGTAGTGTGTGTAGTTCTGGTGACGGCCTTCAACGACTGGTCGAAGGAGAAGCAGTTCCGTGGACTGCAGAGCCGCATCGAGCAGGAGCAGAAGTTTCAGGTGGTCCGTGGAAGCCAGGTCATACAGCTGCCGGTTTCTGACATTGTAGTTGGGGACATTGCACAGATTAAATACGGTAAGTGTGAGATGGTCTTCAGCTTTAGGCATTTAACACCTTAAATATGTTTGAAAATTATCTAATATTCCCACCAGCTGCCTCTTGTTTTAAAAACTAAATAGAGTTTATCTTATTTCTAGAACAGGATTAAAGCCATAAAGTTCTTTTCACGCTGACAAATTTACATATTTAGGCTTGAATTGAATAATGACTCAATAGCAGATAGATCTATAGCGAAAGCAAAAATATTACTTCATCTATTGTTCCATTGCATGCAAAACAATAATTAATACTTTAAATTTTGTTTTGCTTTGCAGGTGATCTGCTTCCTGCTGATGGAGTGCTGATCCAGGGCAATGACTTAAAAATTGATGAGTCATCGCTGACTGGAGAATCCGATCACGTCAAGAAGTCCGCGGACAAGGACCCCATGTTGTTATCTGGTAAGTTAGTAACTTACACTAGATAGTATCAAGCAGAACATACGCTATACTTGACAAATATTTATTCTGAAAAATGTACAATGGTTTTGTAATTTTCAGTCAGTAGGCCTGTGTAAATTCGCCACTCATCAAAGGAGCCAAACATGTACATAAAACAGATTGGGTTATAGACTAATCTCACAACACTGAGAAATTACGCTCTCAAACATGAGACACATCTTGATCCTTTGAAAAATGCCTCCTTACTTTGTTTGAGGGTTTTTTTTAGTATCTCCATGTTTCCAGCTGTCATGCCTTAATGAAAGGTATAGGCCAAGGTGCTATGAAATTAGCTTGTGGTTTAATATTACCTTCAAACAAAGCAAAAATAAATAACTAAACTTGATATTTCCAGATTAAATCAAAAGATAAGGATTGCGTTTAAGCGTTTTTTTTTTTTCTGTGTTTTGAACCCTTTTTATATGTGCAGCATAGATATATTGGAGGAATAATTATATGATCACCTGCAGACTTTCTTAGTTTCAAGGAAGTGAGCATTTACTAATATTTCATCTGTTTGCGTGTCATTAAATTACATTTTTATTTTATTCCAAAAGCCAAACATTTCTCAATACTTGGTGGAGAAATCTATGTCATATTGGAATGATGATATCCAGTGGACATATATGCCTGCATTCTTCTTTTCTCTTTTTCTCATCTCTTCTTTCGTCACTGTGTGACCTTTAGCATTTTGGGCGATGCGTTTGTGTCTGGCATGAAGATCTGCTGCTGTGAGACTTTGCCAAACTGGCTCAGCAATATTTACATTAGTGTGTAAAATGCAAGTGTCTAACACTTGGAATATACACGTACTTTGCGGTATGAATATTGGACATGCTGATGTTGCTTGATGATATAGTCATTGTGCAGCCCTTCTGAGTACTATAATAAAATGTTTCTAGGTTGAGAAGAATTTTGATCCTCTGAAGGAATTCTCCAAAGTTATTTCGGTTACCTCGCTATTGCTTGGCAGCTTAAAGCTCCATGTTTATCCAAAGTTATTGATGTAGAACAGAACTCTAAAAGCTGCCTAGATTACCCAGAGACCTTGATTTATTGTTTATTCTGGAGTTTTCGTTTTACTGCTTTGATGGTGTGTTTTAGGTCAGTGTCATTTAAAAAGATATGACTCATCTTCAGTATGCTTTCTGAGAGAAAATATTTCACATTAAATTCTTTTCTAATTAGCTTAAATCATAATGTTTCCACCTCCATACTTTCCTCTGTTGATGTTGGTCTGTGGAAAGCTACTTTAAATCAATCAGATATTGAAATTGAGTCTTAAAACAGACCTGGACATGTGGCTCCTGCACTGTTTTACCAGTGATGTACTTGGTGAGGCATGATTGACAAACTCCTCTTGTATAAATGATTTTAAGGTTTAAAATCCTATTTAAAACCATATAACAGGACTTTACAAGGAGTTACATTCTATGGCAAATTATGGCAATTTAAAATGTTTTCTATTGTCTTGAAAAACTACCAAGAGGCGTCACTATCTCACTACTCTTCTTGCTTAACCCAGTAGCCCATTGCAGTCTTGTGGTGATTTGTCTGTCTTGCCTCTCACATCTCTGTACAGCTCTTTGCTCTTTCTCATGTTGGTGGAGAGCCAGAAGTAGAAAAATGTTGTAAGCCTTATTTCACTCAGAGACATGCAATCAAATTTGTGATTTTCATATTTTGATAAATAGTTATATTCTGGTTTATGTACGGCCTCTCCTTTTTAATGAAACTACTATAAAATTTGTATTTCTTTTTATGTGAAAGAACTGACAAATCGTCAGATGATCAAATAATGATTTCCCCGCTATAATTATTCAAGTATTTATTGGGTTTAAAATGATGCAAATGTTTTTCTAATGTCAAAGTTAATTTAAATCACTGGCAGGCCTGATCCATTAAGTTTCTTTATGGATCAGTAGGTAATTAATATTTTTGTTTTTCTTTTTTTGTCCACTCTAAAATAAAAATCCATAGAAGATGATGGTGGAAATAGCATACAAAATATTGTTTTGTTATTCTTTACCTCCAACTTAGTATTGTAATACTTCAAGAAGCAGTGTGTTTCTTTTTACAGTTCATTTGCCTTAATTAAGAAGATGTGAAACGGCATTGGTAACTTTCACGTTGGTGCATAAGTATTCTTAATAAGAAGAAAATTAGATAAATAATATGAAACCAGGAATATCATGAAAAACAAAAATGAGGACTGATCTGGTATCATGTTAAACTTTTTTTTCTTTGGATAATTAGCTGTGTGCCTTTTTGCTGGCTGCTTTAATTAGCCTCAGACTCACCCACATCAACTTCGTCTCACGAAGGTTAATGAATTTGTGTGTGTAAAGGTGCCACCACTCCACAGAAGCTAATGTAGTTTGCAGATGACACATATCTGTATCTGGCACATTTATTCACTCTTGCTTTGAAATATTTAATGTAGATTAACTTCTTTAATAAAGACATTTAACATTTTTCTGATTCATATCTTTCTGTGTAAAGGCATATTTCAAAAAACTGTTAGGTTTGGCCTTAAACTGTAGGATATATTTTTTTTTATTATTTTTTTTTTATTTTTTTAGTTTGAAGTTTTAAATGTATCCTAAAGCTTAAGGAATTAAAAGTTTAAGAACATGCTGTGAATAAGTATATCCTCCCTTAAATATTTTCTGTTTTCATTTATGTTTTGTCAAACTTAAATGTTTCAGAAAAACAGCTATCCAAACCAACTTTAGCCTGTATGTAAAAAATATTTCTCCTTAAACCTAATAACTGGGTGTTCCACCTTTAATCACAACTGCCATGAATCATTTGCAATAACTAGAAATTAGTTGTTATTCTGCTGGGATGAATTTCACTCCCCTGTTTTTAGCATAATTATTTTAACTCTGTGACATCAGGGGGTTTTTGAGGATGAATGCTCTGTTTAAGGTTAAGCAAAGGTACATCATTCAGATTTAATTTGAACTTTTAAGTAGGCCACTCCAAATCCTTTTTTCATCTTTCTTTTTTTAATTGCTGGAGATTCTCTTTTAAGATTTTCTGCTGGTGAAGAGTAATCATGATAACACCAGCTATCTGTGTCCTGAAGCAATAAAGCAGCCAGAAACCATCACACTTCCACCACCCCGTATTTCACCGTCTACATGATGTTCTTTAAAAAAAAAAAAAAAAAAAAAAAACCTGCACTTTGCACCAAGTTTACTTGTATTTGTACAATGACCAGAAGCAACAAACATGAGTTATTTCATATAAAATAATAGGAGTGTGTATTTTTGTTGTTGTTGTTGTTCTTGCCTTTCCTTCAGCAATGTCCTTGTAATATTTTCCAGACTAGTTGTTTATTTAACATGTGATGTAATTTATTCACCTCCTTTATATGAAGTAGGTTATATCTAAATGATTTCTTAAATCTACAACTCTGGAAGTAATCAGACCTGGATCTGGTTGGTGTGATAGGATGTAATTACACTTTACTATTTTACATCAACAATGCAATTACTTACAGCGCTTTAAATCAGGTTAGATTTAATAATTTAAATATTCTTTTTAGAAAACAAACTTTCATTTTCTGTCTATTCAGGTTATCTTTGTTTAAAAAATTGTGAGATGATTGAAAACACTAAAGTAAGACAAAAGTAAGAATTGAAGAGGCCTGTAAGAGAGCAAATATGTTCCAGAGCACTGTAGATAATCACTGGAATATAGATGCATATGTTATGTTTTTATTACCACGCTGTCCTTCTTTCAGGGACCCATGTTATGGAGGGGTCAGGACGTATGGTGGTGACTGCAGTCGGTGTCAACTCACAGACTGGGATCATCTTTACCCTTCTTGGGGCTGGTGTTGAGGAAGAGGAGAAGAAAGAGAAGAAAGGTAAAATCACCCCTAAATGTTAATCATTCTGAGGCTTTGTTTGTGTTTCTATTTTTTAACAGTGTTACTCTGCAGCATATCCTTCAAATCAGCTTTTGTCATTTCATTACCTTATGTATGGAAAGTCTGTGTAGCCCATTGTGTTATATAAGTGTTTTTAAGTATCTGATACATTTTAAACACTAAGGTATAACCTGGGGTATTTGTGTGATACACTGCATTACAGTCAGATGAATGTGTACTCGTACTGTAGGAGATGAGTATTGGTGGTACTGATGCAGTAGCCAGGTTCTGTGGGTTCAGGTGCAACATTGTCCTTACTCTCTTATTGTTCCAAATTTTCCTCGAAGGAGAGGCAGTGGAAGATGGACATCAGAACACAGGTAGAGTATCACCTTTCTCTGACCCCTGGGAGCTGTATCTAGTTATTCTGACATGTAATTCCCAACAAATCCCTCTGATTATTCACTCCTTTCCTGGAGCCAAGTGCCATTTCTCCAATTTAAAAAGGAATACTTTTTTAATCACTACACTGCATCTTTTTAAGTGCTAGCAGTTAACATATTTCATAGTGCATAACCCTTTGCTGCTATATAACAAGCTTTGCACTCGTCAAACTAACTAGCTCACATCGGTCCTCTTTGAACAGACTGTCAGACTGATTTCAGTGCTTTGTTATAGAACAATGACATCAGTGTGACAGCCTTGCAGGTGTACAGAACATGTACCGGCAGCAGAAGCAGATTTAAACATTGTCGCTTCCATTCTTGTTTAGCACAAGCCATTAAAACTGTCTGCTTCAAAGTTTTTTTTGCTTTCTCAGACTAACTGTAGTCAGTAAACGTAAAATCTAATATCTCTGGAGATTTTCTCGGATCTGAAAACGAACAAATTCTGTGTCTTTGTTTCACTTGAAGTTTAATCAAAATTTATTGGCAACATTTTATTTTAATTTAGACAGTCTTCTAGCTTTCATTCCTTGTTAATTTGTTTAAGATGGAAAGATCAGAGTAGTCTTGAAACTGGTGAATTAATTGTTGCTTTTGATTCTAAACAAACTGAACTAAATATTTTAGTTCAGCATTTTTCTGTCAACAGTGCAGTGTTGACATAAGTAATGGAATGTGTTTAGAATAGTGGCTGAATGGCCACTATTTAATTTATTTTCTGTTTACCAGGAGAAATTATAGTTCATTCTTTATTGCCAAATAAAGCATTGTCTGCTAATTGGTTGGCTATGCTATTTTTTCTTTCTTTATTTACTTTACATTGAAAATTTTTATTTTTAATCTGGTTATTTGTTGGTTATGCAACAAATGGAATTATGATTTGTGATGCTTATAGACATTACATGAATAACATGGTTTGAAAAGGCTTACCTTATCGAAAACCTAAATAGAAATGACTATGCAATTATTTAAACCTAATTGGACACATTCAGTATAATTATATTACTTACTCCATAAACCAGTGTTAACTTTTACAGTTAAAGTGGCGATATATTGTTTTTTATCTTAGTGTATATTGTTTTTGAGCTATTTAGAGCTCATCCTTCACCTTTGTTTATTGTTGTTACTGTTTAGATCCCTAAAAATAATTCCTGTACAAGATCGTAGCTGTTGGAAAAAAAAAAAAAGATTAAATAATCCATTTACAAATAAATGTTTCACACTAATCACTAAGTCTGCATATTATGCTGAGTCTCTGTATTCTGCTATAACCATGTTATTTCTGTTCACTGTCTTGTGTGTGCACATGGTTGGGCGTGTTTGTGGGGGTGCGTGTGTGTATCTGTGTGTTTTGGTTCATTCTCGTTGAAATTTCATTGTTACTGGCTAGACTGCTCCCATCCCCCAAACCACCCCATTGCAACTATAGCCACGGATGGGGCTGCAGGCATTAATGCCTCTGGCACTGCCAGCCTAATTAATGGTAGGTTGACACAATGTCTGATCTCTGACCTCTTTCTGTTGTGACTTTTGACTTGTCCTCTGTCCTTCTTCATTCTCCGACTGCCTCCTATCATGGATGCCTACCTTCTGCTGATTTCTACCCCTAGTTATTTGGGACCTTTTTGTGTCCATGCTGTCCATGCATGCCTGATTTAGTTGTAGAAATTAGTGTTGTGTTCTTGTTATTGTCCCCGTGTGCCTTCAGTTTCTATGTATGACACCGGTAACAGATTGCCTCATCCATCACTATGTAGTTTTACAAGTAATGAAAGGATTTTAGGTCTTCAATGCTGACAATTCATAATAAGACCGACATACAAGTAAATACATTAATTTAGATATCAGCATGACAAGGCAATAAGCAGTTTCAAAGTTCTTCAGTAGGTTCATCTCATTTTGTTTGGTGAACTTGGAGGTCATGTAGCACTGATCCTCTAATTTTACCAAGATGCAGAAGCATTTAGTGTTGTGTTGATGTTTCTCCTTTCTGGGTTTTTGGAGTGATTCTCTAAGATGTTTATGATAAAGATGGGAGGGTGACCGTGTTGTGTCCTGGGATGAAATACATTATTTTCAGCTTTATTGTTTCTCTAGGAAGCAGGCTTAATGTGTGCAAGATTTGACCATAATGCCTTCGCCATTCTAGCCCTCAGTTCTAGTTGCATTATCTTCGACATTTGTATTGAACGACATTGTAAAATAGTTGTAGTTCGACCTCTGATTGCCTTCCTATAAAAACATGTAAATGTTATAGACTAAAATTAGTTGTCATATCTTTGTATCTTTGGTTTTTAATTTAACTGTAATTAAATTCCCTTCTATTGAGTAGACTCCAAAGGCATAATAAACTCGTGTCCCCAAATGTAGCTTCTGAAATTCCCCCAGTTGTTGTTGCATAACTTCATCATGTGGGAGGCTTTTACTTCAGGCTCTTTTTCTCTTTGTTGTGTTCACATCTCCAGTTTGCCTTCCTCTGAATGTGATTTGCATGTGTTTTCTGAACTTTCCTTTGCATGCTGTCTGCTGTTTGTATATGGTGTACTTATGTTTGTGCTGTACATTTCCTCACCGTCTTCAGTGCAATGCTCTTTCTACTGGTTGTCGTAAACATCATGTAATATATACTTTGACTCATATGGTTTATAATGTTTAAAATTATTTATATTAAAACTGTTTTTTTTACTATTCCATTTTGCTGCATTTAATATGCAAGTACATCTCAATAAAATAGGATATCCCACAAAAAATATTATTTTAGTAATTCTATTAAAAAAGTGAAACACTTATTTTATAGATCCATTACACACTGAGTAATATAATTTTAGTATTTTGTCTATTAATTTAAATGAATGCGAGTTAGAGCTGATCAGCCCAAAGTTTAGTTTCTTAGAGAATCATTATATCGCATAAAAAGAATATTTAAATACACAAATGTACTATTATGACCCATCACTTGATGTGACAGTGATCCAAAATCAGGATAATACTATTGTAGCTTGTTGCTATAGAAGATGGATGTTTACAGAGTCCTGTGCCCAAACATATTAATGGAAATTTGAGCAGAAGGAAAAATATTGTGCAGACAACAGAAAGCCACAGCTTTGAGATTATTGTTACATAAAGTGCATTTATGAGAATTTAGGAAAGATTTACAAGCCATGCACTGCATCTTGAGTTTTTCGAAATGCACCCATATATAGATGGAGCGTGGAAATATGCTGCAAGTGTTGCATTACCCGAGATAAGAAACATCTCCTCAATATATCAGCCAAGAAATTAATACTTGGCTGCAAATGAGTCTTCCTAAAGGACAATGACCCAAAAGATACACATAAATTGTTACAAAGAAGGATGAGGACGAAAAGTAATTGTATTAGAGTTGCATAGAAAGTGGTTAGTGGTTCTAGAGGAATGCCTCAAAATTTCAGCAACTACAGCAAAAAGTTGCTGAACTTTTTGTATTATGTTTAAGCAAAATAATAAGAAAATGTATTTAGACATCTGACTCTGGAAAGAGTTAAAAAAAAATCTATCATTGGAAAAAGGTTTATAATAAAGCTGACAGAAAAAACAGGACTAATTTAATATGGTGTGATGTCAAGAAAATAATTTGATATGTATGCTTATAATGTATCTGAATATCTGGTTTTACTTTTTTATTTGAATTACTGAGATAACAATAAATTCAACAGCATTTTAATAATTTTCTAGTATTTTTCCCCAAATTTGACAAATTGACCCTTTAAGTAGCCATAGAAACTTTTGTTCTTAATTCATTTCTAATTTATTGATCGATAATACAGCTCTTACTGAACACATTTTTTTTCTTACTGACCTACATCTCAGAGTCTGTAGCAAACTGTTACATAACATCACTTATGTATCACAAGCTTTTTTTTATGTGACTGTCTCAAAGATGTTATTAAAAGTCATTATCCTGTCTCACTGTTTGTTTCATCTCTGTGGTGACGGTTTGTTGACCTGTCTGTCTTGGTTATTTTGGTTGTTGTTGTCCTGTATGTCTTCATCATAGGTAAAATGCAAGATGGCAATATGGAGAGCAACCAGATTAAAGGTAACTAAATCATATGTTTAACCCTCTCCTTCTTTCTTCTACTTCTTTCCACTCATATGTTTTCCTCGTTTATGGTGTGTGGTGTAAGACCTAGGTCAAAGCAGGTGGAAATCTTTGCGTTTCTGCGTTTATTTTCATACAAGTTCTTCTTACAAATAGAGTATATAATCTGAAGACATTGGAATCATCTCAGTTTTAGACTCTGAGATGATATCAGAAACATTATTTGACCAAGGTTTATTACCCACAATACCTTTAGGTTGCAAAATACCCTTCTTTTAACTCCCTCATTACCTGTCACTGATGTGTTGTCTGTGGTCTAATGTCTCATTTTGTTGTCGGCTCATCTTGTTCTGGTAGAATAGCCGCCTCTCGCCTTGCAATTCTGTGTCAAGTTCACTCAAACTACTTTATTTTACCCTGAAAACAAAAAAAAAAACAACTTGCACATCTTTTCGCATCGATTTTGGAATAAATATCCTTTCAACTGCTTTACATTTGTATATGTATAATTTGACATAGTTTGGTTTGGCATTAAAGAAAATTATCCTCCATTTTTGTTGTGATGGGATTTTTATTTTTTTTCTTGTAGATGACATTAAAAATAGGTAAATATTTTCATCAAAGAGAAAGACTCAATCTTTGCCAAAAGTAAAGGTTTTACTTTGTTCTAAATACTGGCTGAAGCTAATAAGTGCTGTTTTTATACCCAGAACATATGTCCTAAACTGTACTGACACAAGTTGAAATGCTGCACAGTGACGTTGAAGCAGTTATTCTGAAAGTAACATTGAAAAAAAATTACAGTTTGGAAATGCACTCAAATACAAATATATTTTTTCTTTAAAAACATGTCCTGTGGTTTATAGCAGTAAAACTAAACTGCATGGGCACACAATGGCTCCCAACCCTGGTCCTCAGGCCCCCCATTCCTGCATGTCTGTGTCTCTTTTCTAGCACACCACATTCAAATGATGACCTAGCCAGCGATCCTGCTGAAGCCTCTTATTCACCCAGTTACTTAAGTCAGGTGTGTGACATAGGAGACACCTAAAACATGAAGGGGGCTTGAGTCCCACGTTAAGGAACCACTACCCTAAGCATAAAGCCACAAAAAATACATTCTTATAGGTTTAGGAAATCTCTCATTTGCTTAATCAACGTTAGATAAAGAGAATGACATATGCCGAAAAATAAACTGCACAACCACTGACTGAGGCAGATGTGCCACATTAAATTTGTGTTTTTATGACCATCAATGCATGCCTCATTGTGGTAAAAGAATTAAGATGTAATGATTCTTGGTAATAGATTGCATTAACAGAGAAGGAGAGGATGTGTGTGTCAGAGGGAAATGGAGATGAAAACAGGGGAACGGCAGAATTCTGTTACTTCGTCTCCACCTTCTTTTACTGTCAGAGCAATATTTTTTTATCATTCATAATTTCTTTTTCACAGAGTGCCTCATTCTTGCCACACCATTAAATATTTCATATGGCTTAAGGTTGATAGAAAATCAATTGCTTTTTAGCTGACAGCAGAGATGATATATTCTGCTTTTAATGTACAGTCATATTCAGTAAATTAGAATAGCAATCCCATTTTCAGATGTTAAGATGAGACCCGTTTGTACCATTTTGAAAATAACTTTTAAACGGGTATGAAACATATGTTTCACTAAGCCCATATTTCTGTTTTTAAAAATAGTTGTTTTTTTTTTTGTTTGACGTAATATTCCAATTTTAAATGTCATGTTTTTATTACCTGTAAGTGGAAAATCATCAAAGCTAACTAAAAAAATGCTTTTAAACGTATGTGTATGTGTAGTTAATCTATCTAAGGTTTCGCCTGGTGATAAATCTCCTAAAAGTAAATTGACTAAAGTAAATTATTCTAATTTGTTGAATGGGTCTGTACATGTATCATCATGTGTTTCAGAATATGGTTTTTGATGCCAAGATGGTCTGTACATTTTGTCTATCGCTATTTGTTTCCAGCATATTCCCTTTATTAAAACGCTTCAGTTTATTAAAGCAGGTGATGATATTCCTATCATGTCATTATACAATTTGGAAAGAAAATCTTTTCAACATCTCCACCAACAAATGCAGATCTGTACATAGGTCAGTGATGTTATTGCTGTGTAAAATTATTTCATTTCTGTAGATTTAATGACCTGATTTGTAAAAGCCATTGTTATATTCAGACATGTGTATGTTGTGGTCAAAGCTCTAAGGCAGACATGTTTTTTGTATGATTTTGAAGTGGTTCCCAAAAGTAAACATATATGTACACTGTATTTACAGCCATTTTGATATAAAAAGGCAGTTTATCATGGTACAATATGCTTACATCGGGAAAGCTACTATGGCTGCAAAGTATTTAGTGTGTTCAGAAAGACAGCCTGGGGAGAGAAACTGTCTCCTTGGTTGCTGGTTCTCTGTGGCGCTGACCTGAAGGTAAAAGTTTAAATAGTTTGTGCCTGAGATATGTGGGGTCTGCAGAGCTGTCAGCTGCCCTTTTCCTGACCATAGACCTGTGCATGTCCTGGATGGAGGATGGATCAGTCCTGATGATCCTCTCTACCGACATAATTGTTGGTAGCAGACTGGACCTTCCTGTTTTGTGGATGAGACAAACCATATTGTGGTTGTGCATTGAAAGTGTTGAAGATGACCATGTGAATTTTGTCAAGTTACAATAATGTATCAGTATTGTACATATGTGATGGATCAACACAAAGAAGTGCATTTGTTCTTTAAAGGTCTCAGAAGTTTGTCAGAAAATGTTCATGAACAGACAGCATTACAAACACCAAGGAATGTGTGGAGAAGTTTAAGGCCTGTTAAAGTTTTGGAAATCCAAAGCTTTGGACATCTTTGGACAATTCACCATTTAGTCCATCATCTAAAAACACAAAATAGAAGACAGCCTAATAAGCTTGCTATCCAACTAAACAGACATCCTGGGCAAGGATGGCATTAATTAAGGTAGCAGCCAAGAGCCCTATGGAGAAGCTGTAAAGATCCACATCTCGGGTAGAAGAATCTCTTGACAGAATTACAGCCTTAAGAAAGTGATAAGAAAAAAGCCTGTTTGCTGGATGCCACAAGTCAGCAAAGACATGGAAGAAGGTGCTAAACTAAAGACCAGAATAGTATTTAGTTTAGGCCAGATGCAATATGTTTTGCGCGATAAAAAAGTACAAATAAAACTGCCTGCCATCCATCACACAATGTCTGTAGTATAACAAGAGAGTGACAGCAGTGAGGATGTCCAGTCCTTTCTTCTGAATGGACTGGAAAAATAGGGGTGGAGGTTCAAACTAAATATACAACTGGAACTACAATGGAATTGTTTATATCAGAGCATAATAATGTGTTAAAATGACCCAGTTTAAGTCCAGATCACAGGACTTGAAAACTCCTGTTCATATTCATAGACACTTTCCATTCAGTTTGAGTTCGAACTAGTCTGCAAAGAAGAAAAGACAAAAAATGTAGCCATTGCACAGCTACCGAAGTTGGAATTGCACCGAAATGTAGATGTAACTATTATAAAACTCGTTGTGCTTGAATTCAGTTGCACTCCACACACTTGAGAGGTTTATTTGTAATGTTGAAAACCATGTTTAAGTATTTTTCCACTTCTCAGTTATGCACTACTTTATGTTGGCCTTTTACATACATGAGATGGACCACTTAAAAACCCCAAAGTGTGTGGGGGTAATGTTAGAAAATTTGACAAAGTCCTGAGGGCATGAAATATTTTAGTAATAATCCTTAAATTAAAAAAAATAAAATAAAATAATGACTTGCAGAAATGTACATGACAAGAAGAAAACATAAATAAGTACAATTTCTGTTACAATTAAAACCATGACCATATTTGTTTGTTTTTTTTCTTTCTGAGTGTTTTCCAGTTTAACTTATTTTTTGACATTTAATTGACATTTCTGTGTAAAACACATCTTTTTGTTCATATTATTAATGATGTAAAATATGTTCTTTTAAATGATCCTCCTTCACTATTTAACAAGCTTCTAGATACTGTGTGGATTTCACTCTCCTGTCTTGGACTATTTTATTCCTTGATGGTGTGAATTACAAATTTCATGTCAGTACTGACTGTTCCAGAGAAAGTATCACACTTACGTGTAAATCATTCTAATCGTGTCATTTTTCTTCGTTCAGTCACTAACAATGGATTTCTTTTTTTTTTTTAAATTTTTTATTCTTACGCTGTTTACAGTGAAGAAGCCGGATGGAGCAGCTGCCATGGAAATGCAACCTCTGAAGAGTGCTGAAGGAGGGGAGGCCGACGAGAAGGAGCGGAAAAAGGTGTCAGCTCCAAAGAAAGAGAAGTCTGTACTCCAGGGGAAGCTGACCAAACTAGCTGTCCAGATCGGCAAAGCAGGTACAGCAAATTGCACCCAGACATTTCCATCAGTCATTCAGGCAGAAAATCAGTCACAACAAGGTGCAGAGCCATCATCCTGTCTATCAAGCAAATGTGTTGTACAAAATGAGTGTAGTGTGCAGATGCTTAAAGGAATTAAGGCTTTACAGAAGAAGACTAAAAAAGTGCCGTCCTCTTCTACATTATTGAATTCTGAAAGCCTGTTTGTTACTTTTTTGAGAGCTGCCCTTAAGGGACTTGATTTTTAACTGTGACTGTTTCAGGTCTGATTTTCTTTTATTCTCATCTGCTGTTTTTTGTGTAATTTAAAAGTGATGTGGAGATGGTGATGCCAAGTAAAAGTTTACAACTGCAAGTATTCCTAATGTATCTGACTTGGGGTGGTCTTATAGCAGAACAATGTCCCAAAAAAATGTCATGATTTATTACATTTTTTTAGAGAGGTCCTTAAAGTAGGGCTTGCTTTTAGAATATCTTGGGATATTAGTGTTTGCCTGACTGATAGAATGGGGACATGGTGTCAGCACAATGAAATACCATGAATGGATTAGCATAGAAATTATGCTTTTGCCTCAGCCAGGGTTTCTACTGAATATCTGGACAGAAAAGCCTTACCTCACCACATTGAAGTTTTTTACATTTTGATTTTACACCATAAAATAACATAAAACATAAAAAAAAACAACTTCAGAATACGGCAATGATTTTTGTAAAGAACGACAAAGAGCGATTCAGAGGGTGGTGCTGTTGTCTGGGCACATGAGAACGTTTTAGCCACAAAGTCAGTGAGTCTGAGCTGACTGAGCTGCCGATTAAGCAGCTGCCTCCTGATGATTGATCTTCGGCCATTTACTGTAATTTCTGCTGTCATGTGAGATGACATGAGCATTTTGTTGACATTTAGCTGAGAAGTACTTTTGTTTTTTGGTATCTTTATATTTAGAGACTTTGTGATCATTTTAGTTCACTGTATTATTCCCACATGACATCTGGGTCAATAATGTATTTAGAGCAGGATCTTAAACTACAAATACAGGCGTAGACTGAGAATCAATGATTATTGTCCGTCTGCATTTCTTTGGACTGAATGAAGCAATCGTAAAGAATTCACTCATAGACATGGCCGATAGCTGACGAATTAAGAGCACTGCACTACTTTTCTTCCGGCTGTGTCAACTTCCCCTTTTGCCTCCTCTTGCCTAATGTTTATTTGTAGGATAACATAGTGGATTATTTACATCTGCTGGTGTGCTCAGTGGTCATTTACAGCTTACCTGGCATTAGTGGGGCATCGCTAAGCTAAAACCATGATTGTCACAGGAGGTGGAGGGATGTGTCAGCATTAGGAGAAGGGATATATCCTTGCTGGTTCATGTATATTTTCTTTACTCTTTCAAATTTTGACAAACAAGTTGGTAGCACAGCATTTTAGCATGTTTCTTCAATTGAAATCTTTTGTACCCTTCTGTGTTAGGAAAACAGGTCTTACCCTCCTGGAAAATAATTGTCCATATATGGTCACATTGCTGGTTTTAGGCTAGTTTACTTCCTTATGGGCCTGAGCAACTTGACATAATTGATAGGAACATGAATGTCCAGCCATCAGGTCGTGACTTTCAGTTCAATCACAGCTGGTTATGTAGCAGGTAATGATGAAAAAGCACCTGTAAGTCCACTTTTAAATGGCTAACAAATTACTGTTCTGGAGTGGCCTAGTGAAAGTTCAGACTTCAGTAGAAATAACATTGCCTGACCTTAAACTGGCTGATTATGTTTGAAAACATTCCACTATTGCTCAATTAAAACAATTGTGCAAATAATTTGATAAAACTCCTAAGCAGTGATGTGAAAGACTGAATGTCAATTTGTGCAAACATTCTAAGATTGTTGTTGCCACCAAATGTTGCACAACTCAGTTTTTATTCTTAGATGGCAATTACTTTTTCAACATGGGGCCAGTCTTGTTTAGATATCTTTTTCCCTCTCATTTTGTTTTTCCTAGAGTCATATTTTTGTGCTATTGAAATTGTTTGCAATGGTTTTAAGTGTTGAAACAAAACAAAGCATAAGGAGATCGATAAGGGGACAAATACTTTGTTACTACAGTTACCACACAATGGGACACAGTGTTGTGGCTTGAACTGCATAATTATATAAGTCCATGACTGATTATTTTCTCATGAAAACAGTCTGCATTGATCTCTTCTATTTAAACCAGTGAGAATTTCTAGATTTACTGAAATGACCAAAGTTCTCCTCATTAATTGGTCATTGTAACAGAAAGGACAGAAAAATCCCAAATGGGATTGTACAGTGTATGGTTGTAATTTGGTGCATGTCCAGACGAGGAATAAGAAAATGTTCCTTTTTAAATAGTTTACCATAAATGATTGTTGCAAATGCGAGTTAGTGTCCTGCAGCTTTTAAGTTTGTCCCTGTTCAAACACAAAAGAATGGATGATTTAATATCAGGCCTCTTTAATACTTGATGACATTATGAGGAAGTAACTTAGATGTTTTATTTAAGTGCATTGAAAAAGAAGTGTTTGCAGAACAGGATTATCTAAGCACAGCAGAGCGTCTTGATCTAACATTCAATTAAAACAATCACTGAAGGTTACCAGACATTAAAGGTTTATGTACTAGACCTCATTACTAATGTTCCACAGAAGTTAATAGAGGCCTAATCTGGATTTCTTATGATGCTAGGTGGATGAATTCTGCAATGTGGCATATTGTGTACAGATATTACAATGGCCCAATGTTTCAACCATTGCAAATACAAAGGCATCAACTTCCAGAGTTATAAAGAGTTTACAAATAATTGCACAGAACAAACAACCAGCCTCATCACCTGGATTATTAATCGAGGGGCTTTACACTCTTCTATGTCTTTATTATGCTATTTTTCATTGGATCCCTTCTTCATGTCTTCCAGGTTTGCTCATGTCAGCCATTACTGTAATCATCTTGGTCCTGTATTTTGCCATCAACAACTTTGTGTTGGAAAAGCGTCCTTGGATGACAGAGTGTACTCCGATCTACATCCAGTACTTTGTGAAGTTTTTCATCATTGGTGTGACTGTGTTGGTGGTGGCTGTTCCAGAGGGCCTCCCACTGGCTGTGACCATATCCTTGGCCTACTCAGTCAAGGTAAGGAAAAACAAACACAAAGTAATGCATGCAATTGACTATTAAAATAATTGTAATTTTTGTTTTCTAAATTTCTATTTTTGGTCATACAAATTTTAATTATCTTGTCAAAAAATTGTGCACATGTCCCATAATTATTTTTATATGTGGAAATGTCAACATGCTAATTTTTGCATAGAAATGCCAATTCACAGCTTCAAAATACTTTAAATATTGTGATGATTTCTTTTTTTTATGTGACTGTGCAATTACGTGTCTGAATATACATTGAAACACAGGCGTGATCATCTTACAACTGTCACCAGTGATTATCAAGTAGTGCATGTACCAGATGGGTTATTTTAAGCAGCAATTTGGTTTGTGTTTTCAACTGTTTTGAGATGCGTCTATTTATCCTGCCAACAGAAAATGATGAAAGACAACAACCTTGTGCGTCACCTGGATGCTTGTGAAACAATGGGCAATGCAACTGCCATCTGCTCCGACAAGACAGGCACGCTAACCACCAACCGCATGACAGCCGTGCAGTGTTATGTAGGAGATGTGCACTACAAAGAAATTCCAGACCCTGGTGTAATCCCACCCAAATCCCTGGATATACTGATCAATGCCATTTCTATCAACAGCGCCTATACAACAAAGATACTGGTAAGCTTATTTTTTAATAGTTTCTGTTACCCAGTTATCAGGTTGGCCCATAACTTAAATATTTGCTACAAACACATGTAATTGATATTCTACTGTTCTGATGTGTAAGAATGTCCTGGGAAAAGTGCTTCAGTCTCAGCTCTGAGACCTTAAGATGAGACCAGGTCTGCAGTGTTCTCATCTTGGAAAAGTATGCAGTCATTGTCCTTGGCTGCTGCTTTAGATTCACCAGACATTCACTCAACTTGTCACCTTGAGAACAGTTGAGTAATTTTGTCTTATCTGATATTCAGAGCGTAGCAGACTGTAATTGAATCCAATCTGTCTAAGTGCTGGAGATGGTCTCTTGTTTACAGTGAGAGCAGTAGGCAGAGATTTTGTTTAAGCTCATTGGACCTGCATGTAAGAAGAAACAGACTCTAAAGAATAAATCTAAATAATCTCAACGATGTTAAACAATTAAGGCAATGATTAAAACTCTAATGTGGTTCAATATCTACTGAGTTCTCAAAACAAAGGCTTGGTGAACAAAGATTTATCAGACAGTCAGACAAATCTCATAGTTAGCTTAAGGAAAGGGTGTTTATGCTTTAAGGGATATGTTCTGTTCAGAATCTGAAATATCTTGACTGCCAAAGCTGAAATAAAATAGTGCAAAAAGAATAGAATAGAAATATTATTTATTGTCCCACAGTGAGGAAATTCAGATGTAGCAGCAGCAAAGTTACGGGGCATCAACGCACATAGATTCACACCAAAACAAAATCAGTTGAATTATTCTCTGATCTTATTCCATAACCCTTATATTATGTTTCAAGATTATGACATAATCTTTCATATTTAAAATAACAAATTGACAGATCACAAATTGTTTGAGTGTAGAGTCAATGAATGGAAAATAGTGTCTATAGTTTGGTAAACAACAGTTTGTAGTGAGTCATTTGTGATGAGATGCTGTCAACAGATATTCTTTAAATAGAGTCAAATGAAATACTTTGTGTACAGAATGGTTGAAAATACTGAATAATTTTATGATTGTGGTTCCCTTGGACTCATGTTTTCTAAATCTTGTTGTGTAAGATAACACATATGACCACACATATATGATTTTTTGAGAAACCTGTCAATATTCTTTTCAGCATTACACCAGACCGTTCTAGCTACATTACAGTGCTGCACAACAAGATACTGGAAAGAGTTTTATTTTAATCTCTTCATTCTTGAAAAAGCTTACCTATAACAAAGCAAAGGACAACCTTTGGGTAACCTTAAAACCCATAGCAAGGAAGAGTCTTTTTTACAGACATTATTAATCCAACTTAAACCATAAGCAGTCAAGCTTACCTTTTATGTGAGCCTGATTTTAGTGTTAGTGCCCAGAAACTGATCAATCAGCTGTTTGTCTGTGAGAGTTAGTGGAATTAATTTGCAAGGTCATATAATAAATTGCCTGCATATGCAGCTTCTTTACCTAGCTTCCTTTCCCTCGCCCTCCAGTTCAATCCCTAAACTTTGTCAGTCCTAATCAATTTTATGTCTATCATAGAAGTAGCTCTGATCTGCACACTAAGAGGTCTTTGCTGCCGTCTACCCTGCCTTAGGCATTACACAGCTACGCATGGAAGTGTGAAGAGGTCCCAGAGCAGAGTGATGCTGTGAAGCAGGAATTACCAAAAACTTCTGCTAACATGGAGTTATTATAAACTATTAGGAATGTTATTGCTATTTTGTTATCTGTATTTTATTATTAGTATAAACAAAGTGAACAGCCTGTTAAGTTTTGTTACTTTTCTGCTTTGCATTTAGTGGAGGTTTTAGGGCTTTTTCTGCCCTTTACAGAATTACAAAAGTGACAAATAGAAATGATTTGTGAGTTAAATCTGAGTCAGACAAATGTTTTAAGTCAGAGGAATTGGATTCCAAAACTGCCTTTATTTCTGCAATCCTATCACAGTAACGTCTGGTAAATTCCCTTTGACGCTAGAAAGGCTCAGGAAGATAATTTTGTACCAATAATAATTTCATAAAATACTGCCTTATTCTTTGTATTCCATCAGTATGGCATTTACACAGTGACTTGACAAAGCAACATAAAACTACAAAAATGGCCTGCATAATTATTTCCTGTATGCTACTTTGTTTTTGAAGGAATTATTGCCAGGAATTGACAGTAGTAGGCAACTATCACTCTGTCCTTTAGGATCCATCATATTACGTTGCTTAAACTATAGTGAAGCGCAGAAATACAAGAAAAGTATGATGGGAAATGACAGATTAATTATGGGACAAACAGACAAAAAGTAAGCCTCAGAAGAGAGATTTCTGAATAATATGCAGGTTGTTCCTCTTTCCCTCCATCAGCCGCCTCCACTCCCTCAGTGCCATTCCGGCTCTGCAGTATGCTTGCTGGTGTGTTCTTATATAAGAGGCCTGTCCTGTGGGATGCAAGAATGGCTATGGGAGGCTTTGATGGCCACCACATAAAGGCACAAAGGCAAAAGAGGCAGGCTTTGATACCATATCAATGCCTCCAGTGCTCTATGGCATCATGATACAGCTCCTCCGATATCACTGTACCTTCAATCAGCACATGCATGGTGCAATAATGACCAGAGAAGGCCTCGTTGTCTGAGGAAAAATTTACACATAAAAAAGCTTCACATGCACAAAAAGCTGTAGTCACTGTAAAATTTTGTAATGGATATTGTTTATTTTGAAGTTTACCTTTATCTATGCAATCTGAATAGGTGATTACACTCTACACTCTACGAACATACATTTCCCCACAGTATTTCATTCATTCAAGGTTCACATAAATGAACAGCTTTCAGTGGAATCAGTTAATTTCACGTAGTAACACACCTCATCCAGTGGTTCGGAATTTTTTATTTACATTAAAATAGTTTATGGAAAACAGTGTATTTTGCAGTGATATGGACCGATCACTCATACACACATCTGTCATATCTCTGCTGTAAGCACTCAGACCACAGGTGTGTGTTCCTGCAGCACAGTGGTATGTTTAGCACGGCTGTGTGAGTGTCCTCCGAGCTCAGTTTCATGTAGATTTAACCACCTGCTCGCGTCATTTTGTTGGTCACAGAAGAGAGATGTGGAAACGCTCCCCATACCTTCTCATTGTGTTGCTTTTATAAAGGAATAGCTCAGTGTTTTGTTACAAAAATAATAATAAAACATTGTGCCATGTAGATAGAAGTAGAACTGGTATAAAATAATGGATAAGGTCTTTCTTGAAACAGCAATTTAAAGTTTGTAATTAAAATAGGCTCCAGCTTGTTGTTTGGCTATTAGTACTGTAGCATATGTCATTAAAACAAATGTTAAAAGCCATAAACAAAAATAAATAGTACACATTGATATAAAAATTCAATACTCTCAGTCATTCTCATATTGGGTTGCAGCCTGGTCAGAGTTTTGTACAAGCACTGTAAAAGATTTATTACCTCTGTACTTCAGCTCAGCTCTTGGAGCAGTTAAGAGAAACAAGTTGGTTGACTGTAGTGCTCTGTCTGAAGTGTAACTTTGAAGTAGGCCTCATTAAGGAGGATGCAAGGCCATGTAAAACTTTAAAGATCAATAATAAAAGCCTAAATTTGACTATAAAATGGAGTGGGAGCCACAAGAGTGAAGCACCTCTCACCCTGCAGGGTGAGAGGTGTCCCCCCCTCAGAGGAGACACCTCTGAGGGGTAAGAGGTGGGGACACATTGCCAGTCCATCACAAGGCAACATAGGGAGCCGTAAGACAAAGAAAACAAAACAAAAGAAACAGGCAAGAATACTATACATACCTGAGGACATAATTTAGAGTATAGTTCAACCTAACTTTGATGTTTCTTACTGTGAGAAGAACCTGGAGAACCCAGAGAGAACATGCACACTGAAAACATGCAGAAAGGCTGCAGGTCGGGATTCAAACGCACGGCTTTCTTGCAACAATTCTACCATCTGCACCACCGTGAAGCTCCAGTTTCAATAGCAACATAACTTTGATGGACTTTCTCTCTCTTTTTCTACATCTTAATTTTCTTGCCACAATTGATCCACATTCATTGACCTTGGTAACTATTACCATTCAGACATCACAGAGCAGTGTAAGTTTGCAGTGTTAGACTTTGCAATATGATAGGAAAAATGTATCTAATTTCAGCATGAAGGCTGATAGGTGATTTAGTTAAATGTCTGCAGAATTTATATGGTGCATTTTGTAGAGCAGTGGAAACATAGGATGTTCAGACAGACTGAAGCACAGTATGAATATTTTCTTTAATGACTTGGTGATAAAATACATCAAATCAGTATTTGGAAATGCTAATGTAGTGAGTGAGTGAGTGTCAGTGTGTTTTTTTTCTTACCAGGAATTGTTTTTAATAAAATTTATCTAAAGTTTTATATTTTACTTGTAGAGTGAGTAACGTTAAGACAGATAAAATAAATTGTAATAAATGGATATGGAAACGCCTTGAAAAAGACAATAATGTGATGATGCATTGGGAAACAAAGCAAGATTTGGATAAAGAAAAACAGTAGAAAAGAGAAAAACTGCAGTCACATGACAAGCATTCTTATAATAGACTGTTAGGCTTTATTTCTGCTCCCAGCATGCCCAAGGCTTTAGCCTGGTTGGCCGGTCTGACTGTATGGAAAGCTACAGTATATTCTGGTCCTTCATGCAATACGAAACCAAGATAGAAGTGGAGGCTAAGGGATTGGGGGACCTTGTAAGACGGGGGAAATTGATAAGGTTGAGGAGAAAGTCACCCAAAGCAAGAGAAAAGGAATGAGATGTGAAAGAATGAGAAAGAGGACGAAATGCACATCGAGGCACAAGGAAGGCAACAAATCGCTGGGTGGTCTGTGAAGAAAATGACAAGAGAGAAGGAAGGAACATGAAGTATGGATTAAGGAGAGCCCTGGGTGGAATAGGAAGTAAAGTTGCCAGCTCTCCCTCTGGCATATGTCCTTGCCTGCAGGATCACCCGAGGACCAGGGAGAGGGCAGCTGGTCCTAAGCCACATCCAGGCCAGGACATGCCAGCAGTAGCTCTGTCACGCCAACACTTGGCGTTTCCTGCCAGCTACTATCCTCATGCGTAAAACTAACATAAAGAAAAAAATCTCAAAAAGGTCTTTGGAAACCTAAAGCAGTGTTTGTTTGTGTCCCATATTTATTATCACAATATGAATATGTTTCTCCTTCCTCTGTCGTCACGCAGCAATGACTAGAGTCTCTGAATCCATATCAACTATATCTCTCCAGCTTGTTAAAAGCTTCAAGATAGACTGTGGTTATTTGTGGTTTAGGTGTTTAACTGGATGTTTCAGCAGAGAGCTGATTCCTCGAACCCCACCAGACAATATTGATGAGGCTATTTATTCCATCCTGTCATTATCCAATGACAGGCAGTGTCTTCCTGATGTAATCACTGGTCATTAGGAAGAGGCAATAACTCTGTTATTTAACACAAACTCAGTATACAATATTTATGTTCTTGTCTGTGTTTATGACACACTGCTAAAAAATAACCAGATACATTGAATTTGTTGATGTTTGGTGTTTAGATTTTAGTGATTAATGTGATTTCAGAGGACTTTGTAACTCCTAGCTTGTACATGCAGGTTCTCAGCGGAAGAAATGGAAAACCCGTGACTAGCTCACTGATGTTTAATTTAATCTGTTTTCAACGAGGTCTTGCTAAAGTATTCCTATATCTTAAAGAAACTGAGGGCATTTGTTTTGTTTTTACATAGTTTTATTTCTCCAGACTATTTCAACAGCTGTCTTCGTGATACGTGATCCGATCTGCACCAAATTATCTGTGTCTCATCAATGATAACTGCTCAAAATACTGGCGAGGTAGTTTGATGACATCACTTCAGCCCCGCCCACTTATAGTCCTTGATCATTTGTTCTTCTGGTGACTCCTCCAGCTTCATCCTATGTTTGAGATTAAAACTACAGTCACAGTTAATATCAATACATCACACGTTCCAAAACAGGAAGTGACAATTCTTTTCTGGAAGGGTTGGATTTTGGCCGCATTTTCAATATATGCCACTGTACACTTGGTGACATAAGCCTCAAGATGATTTGAAATGTTCACTAAATGTGCCACCTATGATTTTAAATCGTAAAAGCAGAACGATGAATGAAACTGAAAAAAAATACACATTTTTGGCAGTTTAAATAGAAACCTCACAGTCCACACTGTTAATATAAATAAAAAACATTAAAGAAAAATAAATTATGTCTAAACTTGCCTAATTATTTGTGCTGTGATTTAAATCAGCTTCAGAATGTGCGATTGCGTGCAAAAGTGTATTAAAGACGAGAGTGAATTACATGCTCATCTGTGTGTCTTGGGAAGCCAGACGTGTGAGCAGCAGTATAACTAAAGCTCAAGTTTGTCTGAAATACTGAAAATACCTTTAGTTTTCTGTCAGAGCAGCAGATATTTGGCTCCAGATTGGTTCCAAATAGAGTTGAGGCTCAGGAAATACTAATAAAGGAAAGCTGGAAAAAAACATAAAGAGCAAAGCAGAAAAGACTTAAGGACATGTGTGAAGTGAAATGAGAGAGAATGTTTTAAGAGAATCAGAGCCAGCGAGTAAGAATCCCCAAGTGGTGCAAATCTCAGTCCCTCGATTCTCAAGTCTCGACTGCCAAGTGTTTTTTGCCCAGCGTTACCATAGGAACGCTGCGCCTCACACACGCCGGCCACGCTCAGTCGCTTGCACATACAGTGAGCACACAGCAGTCCGCCATGTACTGTACAACCTCACAGGCCACATGCACACGTGATTTTAACTGGTCCGTGAAAGTCCACAGTCTTACCGTAAAACTATGAACAAAGTGCCTTTCCACCTTAAGAGCTGGAAAAAAAACACTGCATCATAGCATTAAGTTTCTTCATGTTTCTATTTTTTATAGATGCAAAAATTGAAAGAAAAAACGAATAAGAAATAAAGTGACAATCATTATTTTTCATGTTGGACTTCCTAATGTGGGACAATTTAAATATCATAAAATGGAAAATAAACCATATTGAATAAAAAAACAACCCAGTGTAAGTTGTTCTACTTGTACTGAAAACCAATTGTGAGGTGATTATTAACCGCTTTTCTTCGACTCCTTTTGCTACATTAACTTTATTTGCTATATTTCTTGAAGCAGTTATTGATCTGTTTCTTTTTTGCAATTAAAGTAATTTAAACATGCATTTTACATGTTATTGTTGTCCCATAGGCTTGTGAAAATGTTTACAGCCGATGATGTCTCAACATGTCAGAAAAGACTCTTTTTTTTCTGTGCAAACACACTGACGTTGTTACAGTTAATACTAATGTTTTATGCTTTTGATCTCATGTTTATTTCTGTTTCGCTCCATTTAAACTATCTACTCTGTTTGTGGTCTACAAGGCAGTGGCTTTCTTTATTTGTCAAAGAAGTGACTGACAAAGTAAATAAGAAATAGATATGAGAAAAGTATTTGAGTGAATAAGTAACTGAAGAAATGATGTTCTTTTTACCTTTTGTTGTTTATTGAAGCGAATGGTGTTGAATCCAGGATGTGGCACAGCAATAAGCAGAAAAAGCAAAGGAAGAAGATGGCTAATATGCTGCTGTATTTTGCTGGTTATAAATATGAATGTTTACTGAGTCATACACAGTAATTGCATGGTTCTAAACATGTAATTACATGAAGGGTTGAGCAGCTGGCCTGAAATAAGAATGTCCAAATTTGATTCTCATCTAATCTTTTGCTCTCCCACACACTAACCCTGTCACCTGCTTGCTAGTCAGTTATCACCGGCAGCTATTTCAAGTGTTGCATTGGGCATGTCTCATTTTACTGAAGGAAAGAGAATCTCAACAAACTGAATGAAACTGAACAAAACGGTTCTTATGCCTTGTCTGGGGTTTTGATTTAGTTCACTTAAAAAGACTTGCATGTGTTTTACTTGTTTTTCTTCAGCCCCCAGATAAGGAAGGTGGTCTACCCAAGCAAGTTGGAAACAAGACAGAATGCGGACTCTTGGGATTGGTCCTGGACCTGAAACGGGACTACCAGCCAATAAGAAACCAGATCCCAGAGGAGAAGCTTTATAAAGTCTACACCTTCAACTCTGTCAGAAAATCAATGAGCACTGTAATCAAACTTCCTGAAGGGAGCTTCCGAATGTACAGCAAGGGAGCCTCTGAAATTATTCTCAAGAAGTGAGTCGAGTATTCTGGGTACTTGGTGCAAAAGTTAAGCCTGTTGAAGAGACCTATTTGTTTTTTAAGTGGTGGAAATTTGTAAAGAAAGTTAGTTTTTTTTCATGGGTACGGCACATATGGTCAACTGCTGGGAAAGCCACGTTACAGTTTAAGGGGAAATAAACGTTTTGTAAAAGATTTTTGCCAAGAAGCATTGTTACAACAAATAAATAGTTGATTGAACAACTACGTTCATAATTTATTGAATATAGTAAGGTACCGCTGATATTTTAGATGTAGTGTAGTTGTTTGGTTCTGTTGATTTAGACCGAGTTCAAAGAAGACATGCTGCTAAAACTTTAGGTAAAGGTTTTTTTTTAACTTTTTGTGTAGGCTGAGTTTTCAGTGGAATTTCAAAATTGTGTTTTTTCTGTATACTACATACATTACTTGACATTACTTCATTTACACTTAATATAAAACAATAATAATAATAGCAATATGATGTGTGATGATATGTGACCTATACAAAGTTTAACCCCGGTACTATCTTGGGTTATTTTTACTCTTTATGTCTGTACTTTATTGGTTACATTTCTTCATGTAGTATGCATAGAGATGCATACTTCATCTGTATGCATTTTGCATTGCTTGCTGGTTAATTTTGGTTATTTTTCTTGCGGCTTTTCACTGACTCAAAATACTTTTTAAATGGATGGATGTTTGAGTGGATGGTTTGTTTATTGATGTTTAGTGAAAATCTTTGTAGTTTTATCATTTTACAAATTAAAGACACTTTTCAGGTTTTTATTAGGTTTCACTGTTTTGTTTCAGATGCAGTCACATTCTGAATGAAGTTGGTGAGCCCAGAGTTTTCCGGCCTAGAGACAAGGATGAGATGGTGAAGAAGGTGATTGAGCCCATGGCCTGTGACGGTCTAAGGACCATCTGTGTGGCGTACCGTGACTTTGCCAGTGATCCTGAGCCCAAATGGGATGATGAGAACAACATCCTCACTGACCTTACAGCCATCTGCATTGTGGGAATCGAGGATCCTGTCAGACCAGAGGTAGGAGCATATTACATATATGCTTGGTGGAGAAGATATTGGAAAATGTGTTTATGCAAGCAGAAATCAGCAGGTTTTCCCAGATGTCCCACCTTTTGTGAGGGTTTAAATTGTTTATGTGAAACAATGGTTAAAGGTAAGGTCGTAGGTGCACATTGTACTTTTTAATACTTTCTTTAACCCAGGACTACTTTATTTAAGCACTCTAAAAACAGCAACTCACCGAAGGACTTAGTATATATTGTAGAAAAGCATTAAACATAAACACAAGAATATAAATTCTGTCATAAAATAACTCAAGCAAATAAATTGACTTCTTTCTTGCTGGTTCAAAAGCCAATGATAAAGACTAAAGCTACATCAAAATGGTTTGAAGACAGCAAGATGTATGTTTTTGGAGTGGCCCAGTCAAAGGTGTGCCCATCTGCATCAAGGCGTGCAGGTCTGATTGAGACCCAGCCACACAAACTCCATTCTGATTGCAGCCAAAAGTGCATTTAGTAAAATATTGCCTTGAAGCCAGTAAATATTTTTGTAGTCACATATCTTTCATTATGTTGTTTTATTTATTAGTTTGTAGAAATCAGTTGTCCCTTTGTAATAAGAAAAATTTTCTTTTGTCAGTTGTGTCAAAAAATATATATTTTGTTCATTATGATTGATTTGTAAAAACAATAAATTGGTAAAACATCCAAAAGAATTAATACATTGTAATAGGTGCAATATGAAAATAAAGCTATTTGTTCAGCTACTGATTATATTTTAATTAGGAAAGTCTGTCTCTGAAGCCCATTTTTAAAAGAGTGATGGGCTTTTTTTTTTTTGATGAAAAATATGTGATTGGTTTTGGTTTTCATTTACAGAGTTGGACACTAAGCTAAATAGTCTTTCACTTTCCACACTGCTAGATGGAACTGAGAGGTACCGAGGGAATATTTTAGGCAAAGTGGGGAGTCACAATTTATTAACCCCTCCAATTACTGCAGTGGATCGGAGTGTTGTCTTTCTCAACAACTGTAGTCTCCTAACCCGAACCCTCTCTGACTGATTGGCAGCACCCACTGGCGCTTAACTCCATGAAGATGATTGTTGCTCATCTGCTGTCTCTTCAAACACACAGTTTATACTCCTGCTAACTTGTATCTTACGAGACTTCATGGGTGGATGGTGCCGTATTTTAGTGTAATGGATTAGCTGATCTTCAATAACAGTGCTCCACTGATAGTACAAACGTAGGTAACTAGCTGACTACTGCATTATTAAACCCTTTCCTTTTATCTTTTTTTCCACCCTCTCGTCACTCAGAGGCAACGGCTATTACTCAACCTCTCCCCACCATGTTTTCTTCTCTCCACCTTCCATTATTTTATGAATTTAACCTTCTTCTGATTGCTCTTGGTCTTTTTCATCCGATTGTGCTCTTTTTCTTCATCATTATTCTTTCTTTTTTATTTATGTCAATATCTGAGTCAATTCAGGACTAACGAGAAAAATATCTGTAATAACACAAACAAATATAAACACACTTTGTGAAAAATAAGCAACTTTATGCAGCCTAGTTGTTTTGCAGGGATTTGTGTATTTGTATCTTTGTGTAATTGAAACACAAAATACTCAGAAAGGAATACAATAATTTCTGGTCAAGAAGGAGAATTGCTTGGCTACAATTGTCCTTGTTCTTCCTTTCAGGTTATCAAAGTTATAAATCCTCAGCATTTGTACAATTTTACTTGTACATCATTACAGATGTCTTTGTTCATCACCTTATTTGCCTCTATGAAGGTTTATTCTGTTGGATTCTCCTGAGAGGAAGGACTTAGAGAGAAACAGGAATATAAAGAGAAACAGAGACTGAGACAGATAAATAGATTAGAAATAAGATTGATGTAAGAATAATGGAGGTGGGGGAAGATGGGTAAAGAGAAATGGAGTAGAACGAGACTGTAACCAGATCCATATCAGGTACTCAAGAGGCTTGTTTTTCCTTATAACATCGAGACTCCTGCCTTCCTCCTTTGTCGGGTCAGACTGCGTTTTTCTTTCTCTCTCTCTCAGATGCCAAGTCAAATAGAGCTAAAACTTCAAGAGTAATAAAATGACAAACAGCAGCCAAACACCTTGACAATACATTCATAATATTAAAAAAAGAAATTCAACTGGAATACCTATGCTGTTTGTAAATAATGCACTTGCCACATACATAATACATACATATATATATATATATATATATATATATATATATATATATATATATATATATATATATATATATATATATATATAATATGTCCAAGCCTCACAAAATCTTTATATATAAAATATATTTTTTACACCAGATGATTCTACAATATTGACTGACAAACTTTATTGCTCAATAAGTCAATATCAACTGGTGGACATGCATAAAAATTGGTAGCTAGTAATCCAAAATTACATCTCATCTCAAAATATTGCAGCAGTTTGATTAACGAATACCAAAAATTTTATTTTCAATGGTTTAAAACATACTATGTTTTTGTACTTTTAAGGGAATTTGTCCAGTTTTGAGTAGCTTAATAACTACATTTATTCAACAGAGCCGAAGCTGCTTAAAAATTTGAAACAGGGCCTTCAACCTTGAGAGCAGTTTTTAATGGGTAAGCCTTGAGACCCACTTAACCCTGCTTTTGTTTCTGAAAGACGAAATGGACAATGAATGCAAGATTTTCTATATATTTTCTAATCTTGTAGGTTTTATAATTTAGGATAGTTTTTTCTTGTTTGTTTTTTTGTTACATATTAGTCAAAACAGAAATGTGTGGTTGTTTGGTCAACCTCCTTGTTGTGGATAACCTTCCTCACTCCTCTGTACATATAATCTTTTGAATGTGTGTAGTTGCACATTTCGGTATGTGTGTAGTTGTGCCTGAAACAGAAAAAAAAACATAGAAATAGAGTCTTCCATGTTTGTAAAAATCAATGTGGGCTCTCATTACTTTATGTGCACACATTTGTTTATGTGTGGGTTTTGAGAGCAGCACTCTCCCACACTGACCTTTGCCAAGAAGAAGATGTATTTCTGAATTAATACTGTTTTGCAAGCTGTTGATAACAGATTTTTCTCTGTGCCCTGTGTGCACAATATCTTATAACATTTAACCATTTAAACTCCTCTTTACAGGAAACAATGAACTTCACTGCACACAGTTCTAATAAAAAATAGTTAAAGAAAATTGTTCTAGTCTGATATAATCGAATCTATCAAGTATGCTTACATACCTTTCATATTCAGATTTTCAGAAAATAGTTTGTAGTTTCCCTTAGGTCCATTTTGTATGTTTTCCTCTCCAGCTTGCAGCTTTACTATTTTGCAGTGCGCTCATTTCAGGTTTGAAGCTGTAAGACCAACTGTACCCACACCACCAAATGGTAGACAGAGTCAACAGATCCTTCTGGAGTTGATGTAAACTGAAAACAGCACTATAGCATGATAAAAATGTTTTATAAGTTGCCAGAAGCACCACTACAAAAACATTTTGTGACTGAAATAAAACAATAATTTTGATACTTTAATAAAATGGCAGTTTTTAATAATTGGTGCATGCATCACATATCTCTGCCCTTTAGGTTCCCGATGCTATTCAGAAGTGTCAGCGTGCAGGCATCACTGTACGCATGGTGACAGGTGACAACATTAACACGGCCAGAGCCATAGCCATCAAGTGTGGGATCATCCATCCAGGAGAGGATTTCCTCTGCATTGATGGCAAAGAGTTCAACCGGAGGATCCGTAATGAGAAAGGCGAGGTACAGAGGATGTTGCCAAAATAACAGGGAGGAAAAAAAGAGAGCCTCGAAAATGATGGAAAAATATCTACACTGCAACCACTTTCTCTCTTCATTTTCAAATGTTTGTGTGCATCATGAAACCTGTGTAGGTGGAACAGGAGCGTATTGACAAGGTGTGGCCTAAACTCCGAGTCCTGGCCAGATCATCCCCAACAGATAAACACACACTCGTCAAAGGTAAGTTTGTGGCACAGTTTTTGGGAAATTGAATTGTGTCTGAATTTACTTCAAACTTACGTTTTGTGATGTTGGGTGTGTGTCTTCTTTTTTCTTTTTTTTTAACTAAAGACCCAAGAACTAATAATCTGATTGGCTGTATCATATGAACTGTTCTGCATGTCTTACTCTGCGTGTTTTGACAGGAATTATTGACAGCACTATGGCAGATCAGAGGCAGGTGGTTGCTGTGACAGGAGATGGCACCAACGATGGACCTGCCTTGAAGAAAGCTGATGTCGGGTTTGCAATGGTAATAAAACTAGTGTTTTTTCTTTAATTATATGTATTAATTTGAGCCTGATTTGCAGTGAACGTCTCCCAATGTCTTTTCCACTGCTGCATTATTTAGAATTTTCTCAATATTTATATTTGCTGCTTTAGAGTGCCCCCTAGCTGTTAGCTACAGTAACACACAACTTAATTTTTCTTCCATCTTATCCTCCAGGTGCATCAAATTAATTAAAAAAGAAAATATAATTTATGTAGCACTATTAAACACAGAATAGAGTGTTTCTACTGTGTATTTCTGTTCATGCTGATTATGGCTTAGAGTTTATGAAAACCAAAAATTCAATTCAATTGCTTAGAAATTTTGACTATGACATAAAGCTAATGACAAAAAGGGACTTTTTAAATGGCAATTTCAGCCTACAAAAAGTACGTCTGTGCACAGGACAGTATGTGCACATGGGGTTTGGTTGGAGCTTGCTTTGCATTAATTACTGTATCAGGCAATTCCTGTTGCATAGCATTATAGCCAGGTGAGATTGCTGGTCAATCTCACCTGGCTATGATTATATGGTCATTTAACAAATACTGGGACTTTTTCCAGTGTAAACCAGAGCCCATGAAATCAGTGTCTCCATAAAACTTTGCACCAGAGGGAAGCATGAAGGGCTCTAATATTTCCTGTGCTAAATTATGACTTGATGAAACAAAGTGGACCAACAAAACCATATGACATGGCACTTGGATTTTGTAAATTTTCACACTTTTAGCTTTCTCTACAGTGTTTCTTTCCATTCAAATTTCTGTTAATATGCTTGTCTAGAGCTCCCTGTGAACAGCCAGCTTCTTCAGCAATTATCCTTTGTGGTTTGTGTGTAATGCATCTTTAGTTTTATTTTTAAATTCAAATACAGAGAATAAAAAATTATTAAAATACATGTGTTTCTGGTTCATTTTTGCTGTCCCTTAAACTAAGTATTTAGTTTTTTACTAATTGTCAGAGCTACTGACAATTAGTCTGTGTCCCATTCATTACTTCTTAATAAGATTTTAGGCTTGTAATAATAATTTAATAATAATTCTTAAGAACTGTTTTTAATTGTGCCATGCTTGGTATTTAAAGAAAATAAGCTCAAAGAAGACACATGCATTTCTAGATTTTATTACTTACCCTTTTCAATCTTTTAATTACAATTTGTTTTTATCAGCGTTTGTAAAACAAAAGAAAAAAATTATGATGTCTTTGAACTCTTACCTAGTATTTACATATTGTTCTTCAAATTTCTTCCTAAAACCAATCCATGTTCCCAGAACAAGAAAAGAAAAATTAAAAATGGTTTTCTTCATTGTTGGTCATCTTTGCTCTTTCAGGGTATCGCTGGTACAGATGTGGCTAAAGAAGCTTCAGACATTATTCTCACTGATGACAACTTCAGCAGCATCGTCAAGGCAGTGATGTGGGGCAGGAATGTGTATGACAGCATTTCCAAGTTTCTTCAGTTCCAACTCACTGTCAATGTTGTGGCTGTCATTGTTGCTTTCACTGGAGCCTGCATCACACAGGTAAGAGGCATTAATTGGGTATCGATCTCCTTTTCTGGCAATAGTGTAGCAAGTGTTGGCATTCTCCTGTTTGGGCTTGAATTGTGTTATTGTTTTCTAATCTGTAGTTTTAAATAAGGTGACTAGAGTGAACAAATGTCGTACAAAATGAGCAAAATTATGTTTTTGTGTTAGAGTGATGACACAAAAACATCGTGTTGTTCGTAAAGGTTCAGTTTCCACTGTATGTTTCCAGTTGTGCTAGAGTTTTTGTTTTCTAAGTGGGAGTTTGCATTTGATTTCCACAGGACTCCCCACTTAAAGCAGTGCAGATGTTGTGGGTTAACCTGATTATGGATACTTTTGCATCTCTGGCCTTGGCGACGGAGCCCCCCACAGAGGCCCTGCTGAGGAGAAAACCTTATGGTCGCAATAAGCCTCTTATCTCCAGCACAATGACCAAGAATATCCTGGGACATGCCGTCTATCAGCTCATTCTCATCTTTACACTCCTATTTGCTGGTATGCACAGTTCACATACAGCACGCTACTATACCTAGTCAGAATTAAATAAGTTATTTTATATTCTCTGTTTCCACCAGGTGAGAAAATCTTTGACATCGACAGTGGTCGTAACGCTCCTCTCCATTCTCCTCCATCCGAGCACTACACCATCATATTCAACACGTTTGTAATGATGCAGCTGTTTAATGAGATAAATGCTCGGAAAATACACGGAGAGAGGAATGTCTTTGAGGGAATCTTCAGAAACCCAATTTTCTGCTCCATCGTTTTTGGCACATTTGCTATACAGGTTAACAGCTACAATATATTTTTATTCTATTGGTGAATGTGTTTTATTTCTCAACTAAGGATATTTTACATATTGAGGTGTCTGGAAAGTCATTTTTATTTTTTGTTCTGTGCAGATTGTGATTGTGCAGTTTGGAGGAAAGCCATTCAGCTGCCAACCTCTGAGCCTGGAAAAGTGGTTGTGGTGTGTTTTTCTGGGGCTGGGAGAACTGGTCTGGGGACAGGTAACTCAAATTAATTATTGCCTATTTTTCATGCATTCCTATTCCAAAAAAAGAAATCCAAAAACCTTTGCCTCAGTTTTTGGATTTAACCAAAAAAAGCTATTTTATTTTGTTGTGTAGGTGATTGCCACCATACCCAACAGCCACCTGCGTTTCCTGCGTCGAGCGGGCCAGTTGACTCACAAAGATGAGCTACCAGAGGAAGACGTAAATGAAGAGAATGAGGAGATTGACCATGCAGAGAGGGAGTTACGGAGAGGTCAAATACTTTGGTTCAGAGGTTTAAACCGCATCCAGACTCAGGTAAGATTTTTATTTCACTTCAGGATTTCGTGTGACTGATACCCGAAAAGACAAAATATATTTGCTTCCTTTTACTTTTTTCATCCTTCCCCTTGGCACTTATTTTCAGAAACAAATGTGCCAGAATAGCATGATTCTAGATGCTTTATTGGTCATCATCAAAGATCCAGTTTCTTTTATATTTTTGCATAATATTTAAGATATAAATGGCACAACGTTAAAGTCATTTTGTCTCAAGATAACAAATTTAGGAACATGAAGATCCAACTTTTCCTGGGTGGATGGAAGCACTGTGGACCATCAGAGGAACAAAAAATAATCATTGAACTTTTGTCATTGTGATGCGCTCTAACACCGACTTCACTGTGATAGTTAACTCTATTCTGCTTTTGTGTTACACTTGATTTCATCTCACTGATGTACACTAGTGGTCCTGTGTGAAGTTATCTCACAGCATCTTCACTCGACTTCACAAAAATCTATAGATCAAATTGCACTTGACTTGTCTAAATTTTATTTGATCAAAATCAATAGTTCATGCTGTTTTTATGTTGTTCTTTCACAGTTGTTTTAGACTTGACTGCTTTTTCACTTATTTTGTTTGCAGCCTTTGTACGTGTTCATGACCTACAAAGTGGGCAAGCGAAAGACGAAAGACATGTCAGGCTAATGTCCAGTATCTGAAATCTTAAATCCAAATCTGAAATTAAACTAAACATTCGGACCCAGGAGCTACGGTATGCATAATCCTTCAGTTGATCATCTACTTTAAGCTAAGTTTCTTTTTCATAGCTGTTCTGAAATCACCTTTTTGGTGCAAGAAACAATGTTTTATTTTATTAATTTCACAACTGAGTTATTCAGCTAAAGAACTGGGATTCAAAGATTCAGCTAAAGAACTGGGAACAATGTGTGGCATTAGTTCAGCTACTTTTCACGAAGTTCTTTACCTTCCCACCTAAAATCCCATTTTTACTAAATTGTCCAAAATGTCTAGACACAAAACAGGTTCACAGCTTTGGAGCCTCATTCTGCCTCCTTGATTAATAGATCGCTGTTAGGTGAAAGAATAAACAGATTAAAATGTTACAAAGACTGAAAAATGTGTGAAAAAGCAACTTAAGTCTTCAGAAAGCCTGGAGAACTGTTAATCCAGACCATTTTAAAGGTCATAACAGTCTGGTTCTGGCAGCAGATGTTGGATGAATCTCATCTTCTACAGTCCTGTATGTTCATGACCACCATGACAGGTACATGTTGTTCTATCTGTAAGATGGCCTTTTATTCCTATTCACCACTTGGTTGAGGGGATACTCCACCCTGACCTTTACCTCCCCCCACCCTTATGTGTCATTACTGCAGAGTTGTAGTCCCTTTACCTAACCAGCCAGCATGTGTTACCATTTAGTTCGTGTCACTCTGAGCAGCCATTTGTCCTCTCCTGTCCCGTTCTTCTTCCACAGATTGAAGTAGTCAACACCTTCAAGAGCGGCACCTCATTTCAGGGGGCTGGGGCTCTGAGACGCCAGTCATCCACCACCAGCCAGAACCAGGATGTAACCAATGTTTCTAGTCCTAGTCACGTGTCCTTGTCCAATGCCCTTTCCTCTCCTACAAGCACTACTGCTGCTGCTGCTCCTTCCACTACTGGCCGTGAGTCAGAACTCTGTCAGTCTGCTTGTCTGCTCTCTTTGCTTCAGGGGTGCCATCCAGTCCTCATCGAGCTCTTATTTTTAAACTTAAATTACTAGACATTATGCCACCAATGCCTCCATTGTGACGTTGGCATCTCTGAAGATTTGTCCTTTTCTCTCTTGCTGCTTTTTTCATTTTCTTTCTTATTCTGTCTTTTTGATGTTCACACTGGATTTCAAATTCATCTTGATATCTCCTCCCATGGTTGGCTGTACTGTCCTCTCATTGGTCAATGTGTGTTTGTTTCCCCAGAGTGCTAGGAGCACAGGACTAAGAGTGATACCCACGGCGTGACATTTCAGGTTGTGAGTTTGTCTCCCTCTGCTCATCCTCCATACATCATCACATCTGTCACTCCTCTCGTTTTTATGTCACGACGGATGTTAATAACTAATTCCAATCAACTCTCAAAAGTAACTGGGAGAACATTCAAGTATAAGTGGCAATGTTGTTTTATCTGCCACTTTAGTGGCAGATAATAACGACTTCAGACAAATCCAAATTTTATTGTGTATTATATATTTTATTAACTCAATAAACGCTGAGGAAGCGGCTGTATGTGTGGTTAAGAATTTCCTTTTTATTACCTCGACTGCTTTCAGAAAAATGTTTCTTCTTACCTCAAGATATAAGAACCTCAAATCTGTGATCATCTCTATTTTCAGCTTTGAGCCACGTCTGAGCGTAATTGACACCTTAAAGTAAACCTGCTTATTTGCTAGATGAAACAGAAAGCTGCTTGCAAATTTTATCTGTAAGCCAGTTTGTTCTTCTCCTTCGGTCGCTTAATAATGCTGCTGTGGTTGATTATCATGTTGCCATATTATCAGACAGATTCCCAGCAGAATCAAAATAGATAAACCTCCAACCCTCCATTTTTGTCAGATCTTGTCCTGTCACAAACTTATTCAAAGAGATCCTTCTTATTATTACTTTTTATTTTAGCTTTAGGATCTTCTTGCACCCACTAAGCCATAATTACAGCAGTGTTACTGTATATTAGATGTAATAGAGCCAATTTCCAGAACCTACATGACTCTCAAACTTCAAGGCAAGAAATTACTATCACTGTGTGGTAATTTGCAGGTCTAATATGCTAAAGGAGAAATGGCACAAACTTGAATTCTCTTTCCAATTTTTTACTTAAAAGTTGCAACACATCTGCTACATATCATGTCTTCTGCATTTCATGTTAAAATATTACTTAAATTCACATGAAGGACCCTACACTTATTGTTATCCCTGATATAGATGCATATAATAATTTTCTTTTGTCACTTAGAGAAAGTCTGAAAACAAAATGACTTTGGTCACACATTTTTATAATTCACTTTTTAGATTGAAAAATAACTTAATTTGTAATTCAAACATCCTCCTGGGCCTGTGGCTCAAATTTTGAGTGACACTCATAGACAAAATTTAAAACAGTGTCGGTAACCAGGAAATGTGTAAGAAAACAACTGCTTTTGTAAACTCCATGATATTCAGAGGAATAGTTTAAAAACTTTAAAATAACTGTGAAAGTGCAGCAAATAGGTTCAACTCTGCCTAGTGGCAACTTGGCAAAGTTTGAGTCTAGCAATCCAGCAGAAAGGCTTTCTGCCCTGCCAGCAAACACCTCCATGTTTCTGTTTTGTTCTAATCCTGCTGGGACTTTAACTACAATCATATATTAGATCAGCCTAAGATTCACAAAAAGATGAATTGGTTAAAAAGCACCTGATAGTCATCTTTATAGGTGGAAGAGGATTTTAAATTTCAACGTAAGAAACTTGTTTAAATTGTAGAAAATGTAATACTGATCTACGTTTATTTATCAATAATAACCTATTATTATTGATAAATAATATTCCTTTTGTTTTATACCAATGCAAAAATGCCTGATTTAACTAAGTAAACATGTTACCTCTTCTGATTCGTCAAACCTCAGTTTCTATATGGTTTCAAGGTCGCCATGTTGTAAGTTGTTTCTCGAAAACAAGAACATGTATGTGATTCACTAAAGACTCGCACACAGCTGGGCTTATACTTGAGTGTTTGCTCAGATTTGCATGGAGTAAGAAACATGCTTCAACCGTCAGACCTCTGACAATGAAACTTATTTTCATTATTCACCTCCTTTCGTTTGATGTCGGCTTTTCTTGTGCCAGTGTCCAGTTTGTCACTGTCGCATGTACTTTGTGTTTACATCTTGTGTGTGTGTTCATAATATTTTAACCTACAGTGTTTGCTTGTTGTCTAAATGCCACTATTTTATTTCTGGGATGTGTTTTGTCGGTGTGAGTTTTATTTTCACTGCAATGCTTAGGTTGAGCCAACCTCATGCAGATTTGACTCACTCCATTTGGGACAATGCCTCTGCTACACTGTGCTATATTTGAGTGTTTTGTGTGTCTCATTCAGAGTCTGTGTGGATATTCAGCCAGACGGCGGTCTGGTGCCCCCCTACCCCCTACCCCTCAAGAAGTTTTTAAACCGCCTCATTGGATTTCTCTGATATAACCAACTTCTTTCTTACTGACCTCGTCCACCAGATTTCTTCAAAACTGCATGTGGTATTGTCCTTAAATTTTTTCTGTAAGCATTCCATTTATTAATGTGGCTTGTTTCTAGGTATACAGCACATTGGACTAAAGCGTATACTTACAACGAGCGTTTGTGTTGCTTTTGTTTTTCTGGAAATGTCTGATTTCCTTGTGTTCTTTATGATTATGTTCTTCACAGTTTTTCTTAGTGCACGCAAAAATTAAATGACTTGTGACCTGTAGTCATCTTGTGCAAGCAGAAAACAGACTCCAGTTACCTTCTCTTTCACTTTTTCCTCTTCCACCTTATATTCTTAAAAATAAATATTTTTTTCTTCTTCTTTGTCTGTTCTTTTTTCACCTACTCTCTCATTACGAGGTTCCCTGCAGCTCTTTTTATTTGATATGTACCATCAGCGCTCATGGTTTTTTCCCCTTCCTTTTTTTGATCTTCTCACACAACAGATTCGAGTTGTGAATGCATTCCGTAGCTCCCTCTATGAAGGCCTGGAAAAACCCGACTCCAGAACATCCATACACAACTTCATGACACACCCTGAGTTTAGGATAGACGACTCCACGCCTAGCATCCCCCTCATCGACGACACAGATGATGATTCGGCCCGGAGGAGGACGAAGTTCTCCAGCCAGCCTTCGTCTCCTAACAAGAACAACAACGCCATTGACAGTGGCATCAACCTTACCATCGACATCAGTAAATCTGCCGCCTCCTCCAGCCCCGCCAGCCCTCTCCACAGCCTGGAGACCAGCCTCTAACCCCCGTCCAGAACGCCGCAGTGACCGCTCACATTGTTCCCTCATGGCCCGGGAGCACCTCGTCCAGCTCTCCCACACCATAATTTGTTACTTCTCCCACTACTTGCGACATGGCCACTCAGATCTCGCCTTCCCCTCCACCCAGCGCACCATGTTTCACCACCGACACAGATCTGGTCCATCTCCCTCTTGTAAGCTAAAGCCAATAATGCTCTCGCATCCGTTCAACATCGAGCGAATCTTTGTGAAATGACAAGGATCAAAAGAAAAACACAATCCAAAAAGCTCCGCAAAGCTACATGACCTACACAGCCATCCTGCTTTTGTGGTTGCATGTGTATGGTGGCAGCCTTGATGGTGTGTATGACACTATGCTTGTACCGGTTAGCATGTACTGTATAAACGTGCAGCTGACTGCACGTTGCGTATGAACTGTGTCCACAGTGATACCTGGAGGAGGACGAGGAGGAGGGAGACTGCCGAGGAGTGCAGAGTGCAAACAGACTTTATACTCTCCTTAAACTCCTTCTCTTCAATAATAACATTGTTAACAGAGATACAGTAATAGTTTAAATTAAATTAAAAACCGTTGTTATTATTCTGAGTCTGATTATTCTTGTTATTATTCTTATTGATCCTGCATGAATGTACATTACCCAAGTTTTATTTAAAAAGGGTTTTAATTTTATTGGAGTTGTTTGGTTCTGATGGGCTGAGCAAACACAGCGGACTATACATGTAAAGAAAGCTTCTCTGAGTCCTCCCTCCATCCTCTGTGTGGCATGAACATGTACCGGACTCTGAAATAATTTTTTAAAAAATGACATCCATAAGCAGAAATGTGTATCGAGGTGGTAGGGCTGAAATTGCACAGTAGTTTTGCACCTGATGAAAAAGAGAAATGCAAAATAATAATAATGATGATGATAGTATTTATGGGATATATTCTATACATATAAATTCATAAAATCTATTTAGAGAGAGTTTATCTTTGTTTGTTGGCATGTTGCCTTGTTTCCGCTTCAATGGCTTAAATTACTTTGACTTATTTATGTCTTAAACAGAATGTAATTGTTTACAACCTCGTAGAGATGAATTTCCTGGTTTCTTAGAGGAGGCGAGCTCAGAATTTTGTTGCTGTGTTATTACGGGAAAAACCATGTGCTGAAACTTGCCTGCTATATTGTCAAATAATGTAGATATTTTTAGAGAATAAACAACGAGAAGAAACCAAAATATAATGGGATGCATAGTACAGTACATGTGGAATCTTAGTATTACTCTTTATGATTGTTGGGATCAAATAAGAGCGGCTTGCCTTTGGTTTTTCCTAACGAAGGCCTCCTTTTTATGACAGAGGAGGATTTTTGATTTGATTAGATTTTTTTTTCATTATTAATTTTGGTTTATTTTTGCTTTGCTTTAATGCTGACCTGGAGTCAGTGCTTGTGTAAAAGGTTGATATCAGGACCTTTTTATTTAACTGTTGTCTAGGTAAACCTGCTTGTTCAAAGGACTTGATGTTTTAAAGATGTATGTGACCATCAAAAGGCTGCAATCCAGTCATTTTTAGAAATTTGTTTCAAACTTGCAATATATATTGTGCTGATATTTTCTAATTTATTTTAGATTTTTTTTTTTTAAGTTTCTTTTCATCTAGACACAAGCAGCCCCTAAATCCTGTTGGCATTTTTAACATCTAAAGAAAAAGGAAAAACTGACAAAAAAACAAAACAAAATTAATAACAAAAATGGAATGTTGCTTTGACTCTTTTTCTATATATATATACATAAAAAAGATTTCCTGCACTATCTGGTTATGAATGAAAACTTCTGTGGTGTAACTCTAGATGTGCTTTTGTGTGTTTTAACCAAGCTTGTCTTCCTGCCGTCACAGAATATACAGTACTCTTAGCATCTCAACTGTACTCACTAGTTGTAAACTATTTATCGTACTTTGACCAATCAGACATTATCAGAAGTCGCATAGAGAAGGCACATTTATCCATTTTTTTGCACTCAGAAGGACAAGGCCACTTAACTAGCCTCTAGTATTATTACTCTACCTAACCGAAGTCAGTGGCAAGCATGATGTCATAAAGTAGGCTCATTATGCAACTTGAAGAACTTTTTTTTTTCGTTTTAAACATAAATTAAAAACTATTCTGTAGACGATGTAAACAATCATTTCTCTGAGCAGCTTAATCTTTTGTTTGTTTGTTTGTTTGTTTTTGCATCCTCCTCCTCCTCTGTCATTGTTCACCCAATCCATTTATCTGAAGAGGGTGCACAAGCTTTACTGGTCAGCTCAGGCATGTCAAAAAACATCGAAATAAAATCTGTCTTATTTAATTGGAAAGAAAACAGTCTGGGTTCTGATATTTACCTTAGAAGTTCTTAATTTATTTTATTATTTTTTTTCTGGTGTTTGCCTTTTTTTTGTCTAAAAATTTAAAACAATAAACAAAACAAAGAAATAAAAAATAAAAAAACCCATAGATATAGCATTTTTCGTATATAAAAAAAGACTTAAGCCAACATTCTCGAACCATTTTTACATCGAGGAGGACTTTCAGCTTTAAGAAACTGAAGTTAAACTGATTCTTGTAAATAGAGTTATGAGTCCACTGAGGACAGAAATGTTGAAAACATGAACTCCTCCTGATTACATCATGCAACTCAATGAGTCATACTGATGACGCGGCACTTTGGCTGTTTGTAATCAATCACCGCTCCTGTCAGAGACGCATCCAAATCATAATGTGTTGTAACAACCTCTCATTATGTTTATGATGACACCCATCATGATGATGATGATGATATCAATGATACTTTTTTGCAATATACTCACCTGCCTCGATGTACTGTATTTAGCAGCATGCAGTTTGTGGAACAAAGAAAAAGAGAAATGCCAACAGATAGCTTTTTGGCATACTTAGCCATTCATGGGTAAGTGAATTAAGTGTTCATCTTGTTTTTATGATATTTTTTTTAACTATACAATAATTGTAAATAAAGAACTCAATGTCTTTGTTCATTTAATACTATGCAAAAAGTCATGCTTTTCCGGTTGTTAATCCCCTCAGTTGTAGAGTGTGTTGCTGGAATGTTTGTGGTTTCAAAACTCAGTAAAAATAATGTGATGTAAATTATTTTTTAGCCTGACGAAAAGTAAAAATGATGCCGTATACAACAGAATACGGTGAAAAGGATTTTATAGTGGTGATGACTATGATGATGGACTGTGACTCCTGCTGCTTGACTGACCCATTTATCACTCTACTTACAGGAGCACTATTGCAAACATAACCATCATATTACTAACGGTAATAAAAAGAAAAAGAAATCTCATTTAATAAATTTCCCAGAGCAGCATGACTAGCATGGTGTGTCGTCGCCCCGTGTCACATGTCCTGTTCTGATTTTGTCGTGCCTCACTTTGACTTTGTTTTTGCTGTTTATTTAATTTAAAAACATCTCAGGTGTTTTACGGTTCCAAGTTAACAATTTGTGAAACTGTAATCACGATGAGGCAGCATAGCAGCATCTGAAGGGACAAAAAAAGAGTCTGAAATCTTACCTGTTCTCCTCGCCTCCCCTGCTTGTGTTATTTTGCAGATCACAGTTGAAGTGCTCAGAATGGGCAAGGTTAGAAATTAGTACATCAGAGGTGCATCTTAGGTTGAAATCAGAGAGGTGGGATGCATTTATACCTGCGTGAGATTATATTAGAATTCCTATAAATTCAGGCATAACATCATATTTAATCTGAAAATTTTAAACTTTTCCTTTCCTGGGAGCTGCATACATTTCACTGAGAACAAGAAGATTTCTGAACTTATCTGTTCAAAACTAACAAAAACCAAAAATAAAATAAAGAAACACTAACAGAAACTAATCAAAGCAATTCTAATTGTAATCCACACTAGATAAAAAAACAACAACTATAATTATTGCTTCATGCACCTGAAGCAGTAATTATAACTAAAAACATGATTACCAAGATCTAATTGCTTACTGAGAGGCCAATGAAAGGATTTTATGCCATAAAACAATTTCGAATAAAACCTAACTTTGAACATAAGGGGAAAGGTTGGGGATGGAAAAGTTGTTCGTTCTTGAATTACTTTTGTCCCCAGTTAGCTTTGCCTGCAATAGACAACCGACACAATATAGAGAATAACTTAAGGTCCAACTCATTGCAGTTTTAACTTTTGCAGAAACACTGTTCCCTTTTAGCAGCATATACGACGATAATACACTCACTTTCTTCATCAAGTCAGCCAGCCACGTTTAGATGAGCCATCAGTTCAGCATTTTGATGTGTTTAATGACCTGAGAGGTAAACTGTTGATGAACATAAATGAATAAAGTTCTGATACTGACATAAAACATCTGAACCTGGCGAAGAGTGCATCAACTCTTTCTGGATCAAGTGAGAGCGCTTTTCTGAGAGCTGTTCACAGTCGCCATCTCAGTGGAAGAGTCCATTTCCAGGAAGAACATGCTTTATGTGGGCGCTTCATCACAGAAGCAAAACTTAAATTGTTTACAAAGGACAGTGAAGGGATTTATTAAGAAAGAGTAAAAAAAAGCTTTAAAAACGAAGATTACATAAGGTTCATGGACAGTGAGTGAAATTATTTTGTGTGAAAGAGGAGTTTACGTACTGTGCAGTTCAGGGATTTTCCTTTAAACTTTTCACCAGGCTGACATTTTGTATTAGAAATCAATTTCTATATGTGTATTCTTATTTGCTGTAAAAAAAAAACACTGGAAAGTACCACTGTTTGTGTAATTAATGGACATGACATGAGTGTCACTATTTATTCATATTCAAATTCACTTAAAAAAAACAGTTTTTTTTTTTTTTTACCTTTTGGCTGTATTTTTATTATTTTAACCTCGTGTTAACGTGACTAAAGAAAATATAGTTTCACAAACTGTACCAAAGGAAGCCCCTCTACTTGAAATCAGTTAATGACGCCCTTGTCACTATGTGTCCACTGGAGGGCAGCACTTCAGCAGCCATATTTAACACAGTCCCACATTCCTTGTAATTTCGATTCTTGAAGTTGTTCCCCTTTGTGCATCCCTCTCCACTATAGTTGACAAAAATGTTGCAAGAACCCGAAACTTATCTGCTTCCATGCTGTTTTAATGTTTGGTTTACCTTAAATGCATATGACCAGTCAGCATTTATCACATTGACAGCAGGATATATTTTTTAGTATCCTGAGTTTCTAAAATACACATAGCAGCAAAAAGATTGCCAAGTCCTGTAGAAAAATTAAATCTGCTAAAAACTCATCAGCGAAGGAACTTCACAGTGAACCTCAAGCAGTTTAAGTTATATTCAAAATCAAATACAACATTTACTTTCATCTTGAAAGATGACTGGACCACTGAGTAATAGTCAAGTCCTTTTTCCTTGTACCAAAGTGGACAATTCTGTCATTGTCTCTGGTTTCGGAATGACAGAATCCTTGTCTTGAAACATCTGGGTGAGCTGAGTCCAAAGCTCAGACCCCAACTGCAGTCCACATCTTGTGGATCTCTCCCATTTTGGCTGATGATCTTCCAAAGGCTGCAGTTTTTCCTGTTCCACTGCACCTTTTCAACCAGTTTTTTCTTCCACTCAACCTTCTATTATTATAATTGGATACATTGCTATGTGAACAATCAGCTCTTTTAGCAACCATCTTCTGAGGGTTACTGCACCATAGCACATTTCTTTACTAAGAATCCCTTTTTCTCCTCTTGTTTTAATAAAAAAATTTTAATTCAAAGAAACTGAATTTTGTTTCAATTATCTGTAAACAGAAATTGCAAAAGAACAGAAATAAATGTTTGAAATACATCAGTCTGAATGTAAGCTAAACAACTTTTTCAATGTAATCAATTAAATTTTCAATTGAACTTGCACTTGAACTTGTTGACCGCAAGAAATGCTCTAAAAAACAATCAAAACTTCACTCGATTACCTATATCCAGCTTTTAGGATTAAAATTTGTGTTTTTAAAATTTATTTTTAAATAAACCTTTTTTTTTTTCTCTTAAAACGTTGAGGGTTTTTGTACCCTGACATTAACCCTGTGTTCATCTGAGCATCAGCTTCACAGTGGGTGTAGCTGTATCAGCATGCGTGGCGGTCCCTGCTGGGGTGGCACAGTCTGTGAATATAGAGTGGGCTCCCACAGCTCAGAAGATTAGCGACACAGTGCATTCAGGTCCATGTGCGAGGGCCGATTGCCCTTCATTGGGCCCCCAGTTGAATCCTGCTGCTTCCCTTTGGCCTAATAGAAGGCTGCAGTAACTGACAGTCCTTTACAATCCGCCAACACTGGTGGAGGTTTTGGAGGCTTTTGTTTCTTCTTCTTTTTTTTTTCCTTTTTACTCTGTTTTTCTCCAAAAGGACTGATTTTGAAATTACTCGTGTGCTGCCCAGTGTGTGTACGGGTTGGTATAGTTGTGTGCATTGGTCCATATGTGTGTGGTTTCACGCAGACACCCATAAGGACACACACGTGCACATGTTTGAATGCCAGTGCTGGCAATTGTCTTAATGGGATAAGGGGAGACTATGGTTCCTGTTGAAGGGAACAGGACTGTGGGATTGACATGGGAAAACACACACACGTTGCATTCATCGCACCAGTGGCTATGTTGTTGGTCGATTCACAAAAAAGGTGATATGTGGTGACTTGGTGTCTTCAAAACAGACCTCAGGGCTGCAAATATTCTCAAATCTTTCCAAACATCCAAGCATGACTGAACCTTAAACATCAAAAATTTTAAAACAAATTCAACTGTAATTTGTATTTGTAAGCTTATATTATTTATGATCATTGATTCATATTAACCGAACATAATGTACCATTTGAGGAAACAAAGTTTTGCTGTAATTTAGTTGAATCTGCAGTGGGTTGCAATAAAGTGTCTTGGCCAATAGGGGTCGTCTGTGGCAAAATATTGAGCCAACTTTTGTATCCTCTGAATTGAAAAACTTTTGTGTCAAACAAGTTGTAGGAACATTAAGTAAAGCTGTCAGTTGTGATGAAAGAGAGAGAAAGACACCAGTCTTCCAGTCTCATTGTTCTGCAACTTTTGGATGTATTTATGTGCCAACACACCTGAATCAAAGGCTGAATGACCTCTTTGGCATGTCACCAAGTTTTGCAAAAGTCTGGTGATATAATTTCTTTAATTATTTGATTAAGGTGTGTTGGAGCAGGAATGCATCCAAAAGTTGCAGGACAGGGGGACTTGAATGCTGGAGTTGTAGACTCTTGGACTAAAATAAAACTGATTCTAATTAAAGAAAGGTTTTAATACAGTTCTAATTAATGTCAGCATGAAGGCAACAGCTAAGTTTCAAATAGAAACTTGAAAACAGAATTCTGAGCATTCATCTCACTCTGACTCTTAACCAGGATCTGCTGTAAAAAAAAAATCCCTTATTTCTTCTAAGGTATATATTTTTATTCCTAATGTTGGCACACTGTGAGCACTTGAAATCAAAGTCAAAATCTTGATTTTCTTGCCCTACAAATTTGATTCCAAAGTGTCCAACCTCATGACACGAGAACATTGTTTTGGAATCATTGTTTTGTGGATATTTAGAGCAATTACTCCATCTGAAAAATCTGAAGAACTTCTAAAACATTTTTTTAAATCTTTATTTTAATGCATTAATTGTTTTTGGGGTTGTTTCGACAAAATTATTAAAATTGTGAAAGGTCCAAAGGTAAACAGCTTGCAGACCCTGCCATAAACCACTCTTTGCTAGTAGCTTTTTATATTTGCTCCATGATCTGATAAATTCAGTTTTCTGACCAGATCATGTTACCATAGTTTTATTACTGACAAATGAGTTTATTTGGAATATAAACCTCCTGGGCTCCAATCACTATTAATGATGTTTTCTAACTCACTTTTTGTCATATTTTCACAGTTTACAGGTCATAATTGTCTATGACACAGGATGCCTGGGCTGGTGATGTTAACACACAAATTCTGACACAACCTGATGACAGACAATGTCATCTCCCTCTCTCTCAGACCCATAATCTTACTCATCTCCTCAATGACAGCCGCTGGACAGGCCTGTGATTACTGCTCCACCTTCAAACCTCACTGGTACAATTGCTCCATTCTCCTGTTCATTCTGTCAATACCGAGATGTCAGGGGGCAATAAGTGAAATGGCAAATTCACACAATGTCGGGGGAAACTGATCAACATCTCATCTTGAGGTAAGAATGAGTTGAAGAGGAGGAGGAGAGTGATAGATGAAAGAGAAAACCAGAACAGAAAGAAAGAGACCACCGGCTGCCATTATTGATTTGATATGTGCAGTTTGTCTTCATTACCCATGGT